GCGGCAGGCCGGGCAGTGTGGCCGGGGGCCGATGGCGGCAGGCCGGGCAGTGTGGCCGGGGATGATGGCGGCAGGCCGGGCAGTGTGGCCGGGGGGCGATGGCGGCAGGCCGGGCAGTGTGGCCGGGGATGATGGCGGCAGGCCGGGCAGTGTGGCCGGGGGCCGATGGCCGCATGTGGTGATTTCTGGGGGATTTCCCAACACCGGCCATTCCCTCACGGACGGCGCGCGCGCGGCGGGAAACAGCGGCGCGCTGAGGCCCCGCCCCCGCGGTGGGCGTGGCCTGGGCGGGTGCTGAGTCACGCCGAGCCAGCAGAAGGGCGCTGGAGGCCCCGCCCCTTCCCTGGGGGCGTGGCCTGGCGCGCGGCAGTATAAAATGTGCGTCGACTGGCGGCCGGCCCTCACAGCGCGTCGGCGGCGGAGTGGAGCGGGTTCCTGCGTCAACAGTGCTTGGACGGAACCGGCTGCGCTCGGGCCCGCCGCCTCCCCCCCCGTCACCACAGCCTATACAGTCACCGCAACACCTACCGGAGCACCTCAGCCATGGCAGCACCCCCCTCTCAGGTGCGTCAGAACTACCACCAGGACTGCGAGGCCGCCGTCAACCGCCAGATCAACCTGGAGCTCTACGCGTCCTACGTGTACCTTAGCATGGTGAGTGCAGCGGGCGCGGCGGGGTGAGGGAAAGGTCCTACGAGAGGGATGAAAGGGCTGCACGAGGGCCTTGCCCAGCGGGGGGTTCCTGGGTGGCGGGCGGTGCCTGCGGGCCCGGCTCCTCCTCCTCCTTTTTCTCCACCTCCTCCTCCCCCCTCTGCCTTCAGGCCGTGTGTCTGGGCCGTCCCCTGGGTATAGGTGAGGCCCTTTTATCTCGCCTGCTCCGCGGCCGTTGCCCTTGGCGGCCCCGTTATCAGCGGCGCTCAGCGCCTCGCCGGCGCCTCTGCCCTTGGGGCCGGGCGAGCGGGAGGTGCCCGACCAGGCGCTTGGCACCTTTCCCGCAGGCGTGCTCGCCTCCCAGGCACGGGTTTTACTCCAGGAATCGGTAGGAATCCGTGGTTTCCTTGGGCCCTGTGTTTACGTGTCTCCTTTGGCCCGAGGCGCCCGTTTTAGCCGTTCCCTGACCTCTGTGCAGCAATCCTGGTGTTTTGGGCGTGCTGGGACATTGAGACTTCCTAGTGACGCTGTGCTGCGTTGTGGCACGTATTTTGTACTTCTTTTTCCTGTGTTAATTTGTTTCGGAGTCCTGTTTTGAGCTTCTGGTGGTGAGTGATAGCGGAACCCAAGCACTGGTGCGTTGCCTTGAGCCTCCAGGCCGCTGGTTTAAGACAGAGAATTCTGTAATAGGTTGGTAAATAACTGGCAGTTGATACAGAACTTTCCATTGAATCCTGGTAATGGCTCTGACCAAGGAATAGACAAGCTGTGTGACAGCTTCTAACTGCCGTTACAGGCTTTTTTAGCTTTCAGAAAAGTAATTGCTGTTGAATTAATATTTTAGTTACTGTTGAATTTATATCATTTTATCTCTTGTATTTCAAATGTGACCTTCCCCCCCAAAAAAAAGGTAGAAAGTGTATTCCTTAGTCTAATCCCTGGAAAGCATAGGGAAACGAGAGCTTTATTGCAGAAGTACCTGACAGCTCTTGGCTCACCCTTACCTGATGTTGCAAGTCATGACCCTGACTTGCAATGTGATCATTGCAAACAAGCTCAAGCAAACAAAGGGAAGATTTCTCCTTGAAAAAGGCTTTTCAAGGCTGCAATGTAATGGTGCTTGGAACAGGTACCTGCGGGCTGTCAGGGTTTGTTTTTGTATTTTCAGAGCTGAGCCAAGGACACAATCACCGTTTATTTGTGCCCTTGGTAGGGATACAGGTTAAAATTTAATCCCGGCTGGAAAAATGGAATGATACTAAAGAGATAGTTGTACTAAGGAGAGAGTTGTCCCACACTGCCTTGCTGGCCTGGGCTTGGACTGCAGCCATCCTGAAGCAGAGATTTAGAGCCTGTGAACTCTTTATTTTTTAGTCCTACTATTTTGACCGGGATGATGTGGCCCTGAAAAACTTTGCCAAGTACTTCCTGCATCAGTCCCACGAGGAGCGGGAGCACGCTGAGAAGCTGATGAAGCTGCAGAACCAGAGGGGCGGGCGCATCTTCCTGCAGGACGTCAAGGTGAGCTGGGGGCTCTCCCTAGCTGGAAGGAGATGAATTTTCCTCTGGGTCCTCCCCAGAAGGAGCAGCAGCTGACACTGGAGAGGCACAGTAATTAGAGATGTGGAGCAATTTGATTATTTGTGGTGCTTGACTAATCTAAAAGTACTTGTGTAAGGAGAGGGTGCTGAGCCTCAGGTTGTTTGCTGTGGGGTGAAGGCAGAACCAGAAGGTGACTGGTTCATCACCGCCATGAAATTTACCAGACAGTAGATGTGCTCTGTGCACTGTTTGGAGAAGTGGGACTTTGAGGGTTTGCTCAGTTTTGTTCTGAGGTTGCACTTCAAGTTTTTGACTTTGCTGGTCTGAACAGGCTTTGAGAATGATCTAAAAATTCCACCCTGCTGGTCTGCGGGTTCTTACAGAAAACATGTCCTGTGCTTTCCCCTTTGCAGAAGCCAGACCGTGATGACTGGGAGAATGGCCTGACTGCCATGGAGTGTGCCCTGCACCTGGAGAAAAACGTGAACCAGTCACTGCTAGAGCTGCACAAATTGGCAACTGAAAAGAACGACCCCCATGTAAGTGCATGCTGAGTATCAATGTGGCTGTCCAAGGATGTGTGTTTAGGGCTGAGCTATGTGCTCCTGGTGGTGTTAGAGGTGAAGAAAAGCGTGAACCAGGGATGCAGCCCTTCCAGAGTCCTTTGGTGGTGTTATCACTGTCCTTCCAGGAGCATTTTTTAAAGTGGCAGGGACCTGCTTTATTCCTCTTGAAGTGTGTCTGTGAACAGTCTCTATGGAGACTGTTTCTGAGGGGGTTGAGTTACATCTTTTTAAGGCTTTTTGTCACAAGGCTTTTTTGCCACAAAATTCCAGAGCTGCTTTGGAATATTAAAAGCCTTGTTGTTTCAGAACAGTATCTGAAAACATGGGATTCTTCTCAGATGGAAATTTTTGGCAAGGCTGGATTGAGGTTAATATCAGGAAGAGATTAATATGCGTGAGAATCCAAGCACTCTTGGAAGTGTCCTGCCTAAGTTAGAGGGACAAGACCAGAGGTGTAAATCCTCACTTATGTGAGTTTGCTGTGCAGTGGGGGTGTCTCAAATCTGTTCAGGAGCTTGACTAATACTTCCTGTTATGAGGAAGAGGAGAGGCTTCCTGAGCTGCCTGGCTCTGCAGGGTTCTGGAGCAAGTGAGCCTACGTAAGCCTGGCTCACTTTGATCTTGTTCTACAACAAGACTAGAGGCTGCTTCCTCTCAGCTTGAAAATTCTGCACCCTTAGAGAGCCTTGGTAGGATTTCAGGTCTGAATTTAAACCTCTGGTCTCCCTTCCAGCTGTGTGACTTCATTGAGACCCATTACCTGGATGAGCAGGTGAAAGCCATCAAGGAGCTGGGTGACCACGTGACCAACCTGCGGAAGATGGGGGCCCCCAAGTACGGCATGGCAGAGTATCTGTTCGACAAGCACACCCTCGGGGACTGCCACAGCTGAAGCCTTGCCCAGAGCCACGCTGTGGGTTTCAGTGGGACTCCTACTTACTGTCCAGCCGTGCATGCAGCTTCAGCTACCTAGATAAACAGTTCCATTCTCTGTACCAAATATCCCCCCTTCTCTTTGTGTTTTATGTACTGCCCTCCAGCCAATAAAGTGACTTGGTTCCACCTGGCTTTTCCTGTTTAGTTTGGAGGGAGAGCAGGCAGCTGTAGTGAAGGCAGTGGGAGGTAAATTTGTTGTGTGACATGGGGGCTTTGCAGCTGCTGCTGAAGGCAGAAGTAGGAAGATTGCTGTGGTTTCTTTAAATTCCTTGCAGGGAACTAAAATGAGGAAATGAAACCAAGGTATTGGGCTTGCGCCTCACTTTTATTTTCTGAGGGTGGGCAGTAAAAATCAGCTGAGTGCTGTCTGCTGACATCCAGCTTTCTCTGAGCACTGTCAGTCTGTAGTGGGGGATGTGTAACTTAAGAAAGAAGCAATGTGCTGGGCAGGTGCTGCAGCTGCCTGTGCTGGCAGGCCCTCACCCTGCCTTACCCCAGTACTGGAAAACAGCCAGACAGGACTGGACGAGGCACTGTGGGTCTGCATCACAAATGATGGGACTTTCTTCAGTCCCTTACATTTCCCTGGAGTATCTTGTTAGGAGTGCAGGTTCTGCCTGAGGGGGGACTCAAGTTCTCGTTCTTGCTGTGAGGAGGAGGGAAGTATCCACATTAACTGTGCTCCTGTTCTGGGCTACACCTGGCTGTTCAGGCTGGTACCTGCAATATTTAACACTCAAAGTCTTCTGGTACAGATTGAGTTTTTTGGTGCTTTTGTTCTTGTTGCAACAGGACTTGTGCCTGCTGCTGTAGCTGAGGCCAGGAGCAGTGTGTCCTTAGTGCTGGTTTCAGCCCAGGCTGGGCTCCAGCTACATGTCCAGCACCTCAGTTTGGGTGACTGCCAAGATAAGGCAGGTATCCCATGGATTCCCCCTTTAGCTGTACTGATCCATCGGCTCCTCCCCTGGGCTTTCACTGGCCTCCAGGATCACCTCCATCAGCCCCACGTAGTCACCCTCGGCTAGGGAGATTCCAGAGTCGTTGGGGGATGGACTCTCTGCTCTCCTGGGCTCTTTAGGAGCTGGGGGGTTAGGGTTTCCATTCCCAGTGTCTCTCATGTTCCTGGAACCCTCTGCGTGCTGGTCTGGAGCGCTGGCTGCATCTTCCAAGCTCAGGCTGCGAGCCTCAGGACCCAGGTTGCCCTTGTGGGACCTTTCCAGCACTGGAGAGGTTACGGGAGTGAAGGAGAAGCAGAGGGAGGCGCTGCCTCCGGGGGTTTTGTTACTGGGGGTGTGAAAGGCACTGGAATGCTCCGAATTGGGAGTGGCTGAGGCTGTGTTCTCCAGGTTTAACCAGGGTGGGCGTGAGGCTTTGGAGCTTTTCAGGCTTCTGAAGTTGCCTTGCTTCTCGTGTTCAGGGGGCTCCGGTAGGAAGGGGAATTTGGGGCTGTTGGATGCTGTGGACTGTGCTCCTGGACTTCCCGTGGTGGCAGCTTCCCTGGAGCTGCTCTTTCCTTCTTCCACTGTCACAGCTGTGAAGTCAGGACCTTTGGTCCGCTCTGTTGGCCAAACAAAGGTTTCCTTTGCAGCAGAGCCCAGGGAGCTCTGGCTCTTGTCCACATCGCTGGCTCTGGAAGGGGAGGTGTTGACAATGACATCCCGGAGGGAAGTGGAGCACGCCGCGATGCTGGAGAGCGCCGGGGGCTTCTTGCGCCCTTGGCGTCGGGAAGGGAAGATCATGGGGATGGAACTGATGGGCGTCTGTGGAGCGCTGTAAAACCCAGGCCTCTCGTAAAAGGGGGTGGACATGAAAGCATCAAACTCCCTCAGTTTTCCCTCCTCGCTGTCCCACTGCTCCTGGGAGTCTGCCCTTGGCTGATTGATGCCACAAGGGCTTCCAGCCTTCCCCATGTCCTGGTAGGTGTAATGGGAGAAGGGTGACGTGGGATCTCCTCGCCGGCGCAGCAGGTTCATCCGGGAAGAGGACCTGGAGAAGTTTGGGGACTGGACACCCAGGAGGCGGCCCAGGTGTCCCAGCAGGGGAGTGGAGTGGTTGGCCTCCTCGTTCTCTTTAATCTGCTCCAGGGGCTGGAACTCCATCTCTTCCTTCTGCATGCTGGGAAAGGCAAAGTGGATTTTTATACAGCTACAGATGGAGGGGGGAGGATCTCCTGGAGAGGCTGGCAGCACTGGGAATGCTCCTGCCAGTGGCAAGCCTCTCCCTGTGTTGCCATTAGCCCTCCAAAACAGGGATGTTCATCATACAGGTGAGGAAAAGAGGTTAGATTTACCCTTTTCCATGGAGAACTTTAGTTGTTGTGGATGAGCCTAAAAGCTCCTCAGGTGTAATGTCCTACACAAGACTTGATCCAGGTGTTGTGCTACTCTGCCCCTGCACTCACCTGATGTCAAAAGTGGAGCCCAGGAAGGATGGGCGCTTGTACTCAGCGGTGGCTGCAGTGTAGGGTGGCTGGGGATCGGGCTCGTTCCAGTACAGGTCCTTCTCCAGAATGGGTAAATCCTGGTGCATCTCATCCACTGCCATGAGGGAGACCTGCAGGGGATAGCAGGAATGTCACACGGATTGAGCAGCCTTCTGTGTGCCTGTTATCGAGGGACAAAGGAACACAGAGCTGGAGGAAGCGGTGCAGCACAAAAGCCAGACAAGTGGCTGGGGTTGCTGTGGTTTCCTGTCATTTGGGTTGTTTCTCACACAGAGATTTGACTAATTGGAGGGAAAATGGTGCTGAAGGAGACAGGAAGGCAACAGGCTCACTAGGACAGAAGGGTGGGAGGTGTGGAGTTATTGCATGGCAGAAAGCAGAGGAGGCAGTTTTAGATGGACACACACTAGGAAAGCCCAGGAGAGGCAGAAATGATGTGTCATTCAAAGGCAGCTGAGGCCTGAAAGGAGCAGGCTGGATCCATCCCAGGTGCCAGAGCATAGACTGAAGCTGCAGGCAGCCTCTCTGTACAATGATATGCCAGAAGCCTGAGATTCCCTGGCGTGGATTGGGGGAAATCTCTCCCATCACAGGCAGGGAGGTGTGGCAGGAGAATTCGGTCTCTATCCTGCCTTGGTGTTCCTATTCAGATGAGGCTCACCTAGCACATCTTCCTCCCCTTACCTGCAGGTTCCTGTCGATGAGCCAGTTGGCTTCAAAGTCATCATCATCCTCCCCAAAAGGGTTGATGAGCTGCTCAGCCACCTGCATGTGGAGAGCACACAGCAAAGGTCACCACTGTCATCCCTGCCCCTTTCCCTGCAGGAAGAAGTCATGTGTGATGTCCCTTGAATTCCAAGCACTATTTTTCCTCCCAAAAAGGGGTGGGTTAAAAGTGAAGGCATCCCAGGGGCTGGGAGACACTGGAATTTGAAATAACTCCCCCCTGCTCACACAGCCTTCTTGCAACTTCAGGATCTTCTTTTTTCCCTTTAGTAAGGACCAAAGCCTAGGAAAAGTGCAGCTGCTGTCCAGAATGAGGCAGCTGGAAAACTAGAAGGTCCTGGCAATTCCCTCAGCCCCTACTGGCTGGATTCCTGGTGAGCTCACACTGGGAAAAACCCTTGGCTGGGTCAGATTCCAGCTCCAGCCATGTTTTCTTGGACTTACCTTTAACCAGCCAGCGTAGAAGAAGAATTGCAAAAACGTAAAGACAGGCACGAAGAGATCCAGCTCGTGGCCAGGATATGCTTTCTCTGGATCCAGGAATTGCCTCCCAATCAGGCAGGCCAGGAAGAAGCTGTAAACAGCCACGGTCACCACCTGGGAAGGACGCCAAGGGACACACCAGGGCAACGTGAGTTCCCAGCACCTCCCTTCAGTTACACCCCACACAGCTCCAAAACCAGGCTCTGTAGCCTCTGGAAAGCCTTGGATTCAGTTCTGACAGGCTTTCTGCAGGAGGATGCATTTCCCTGCAGAAAGCTACAGCCATTCCCTTCTCCCTTCAGCTTTTACCTACACTGTGTGCTGTCCCTGGAATGATATCTGTGCAGGTGTTACAGGCCAGTGGCAGCAGCAAGCACATGACATCCTGGATGGGCTGGAAGGTGTCTCATGGCTCAGTCTGTGCTGGCAAGCTATTTCCAAGTCCAGGAAGGGAACCCTGGCATTGCTGTTTGCTCCTTCCTTCCTGCTTCTCATGCTGAGCTTTTATTAATATTTGCCAGCCTAGATTTCTGGCTATGCTGAGCTTTGTGCTTTTCCCTGTCACCACAGGACTAGAAACTTCCCCTTTTCAAGTTTAGAAGTAACCAAGACTCTCACGTGGTCCCTTGACACAAAAAAGGGGGTTCAAAACAGGAATACACTTTCCCAACATGTTCCCCATTAACCTCTGGTGCTGCCAGAGCAGCAGCAGCAGCAGCTCCTGTTTCATGGTGAAGGGCATCCCTGCTATCTGAGCAGCTGGATTGTAGGAGACAAAGGAGCAAGGTGGTGCCAAGGTGTCTGCCTGGGCTGAGAAATAGCTGAGTACACGCCTGGCACAACCTTCCCGGGATGTGATCCCTGCAACATGGTGCAGGGAGTGTGTGTGTTCCTGTGTTTTCCCTGGATAGAGGTTATTTCTGGAGAGGTGGATGTGTCTGAGTTAGGGAAGGAGGCTGGGTGTGTGCTGAGGTACCGATGGAAGAGAGATGATGTTGTGCAGGTGTGGATGAGGAATTCAAGAGTATCCTGCATTTTTCACGGGAGGGTCAGGTATGAAGCAGTTCTACAAAGATAGGTTGAGAGAGCTGGGGTTGTTCAGCCTGGCGATGAGAAGGTTTCAGGGAGGCTGTGGCCTTCCAATACCTTAAAGGAGCTTATGCAAAGGAGGAAGAGGGACTTTTTACACAGGCAGATAGTGACAGTTTTAAACTGATAGAGGGCAGGTCTAGATTAGATATGAGGAAGGAATTCTTTACTAAGAGGATGTGACTCCCTGGCACAGGTTTTCCAGAGAAGCTGTGGCTGCCACATCCCTGGAAGTGCCCAGGGTTGGACAGGGCTTAGAGCAGCCTGGTCTGGTGGAAGGTGTCCCTGGATGAGCTTTATGGTCCCTTCCAACCCAAACCATTCCAGGGTTCCAGGTGTGGGTGTAAGTGGGGATGTGCACAGGCAGTGGTGGAGCAGTGGGTGTTGGGGTTCCCTTCTCACCTGGGTGTAGACCAGGGGGATGCTGATCCAGTCGTATCCATAGAGTTTCCCACACTGGCTGCGCAAAGTGTTGAGCTCCTGCAGTGGGGAGAAGGGAATGGCGTGTCAGGATAACTTCCCATCTCCTTGCAGAGCCTCTCCAGCACCACTGTCCTCCATTGCTCCAGCCCTTTCCCTTCTGCTTATACCTTCTCTGGAAGGGGGGCTCAGTCTCAGCCTTGGAGGAATTCCCTGCTGCCTGGGTGTTTCCCCCTGAGCCTAAGATCCCTTCCTAGCTCACTTCACAGCAGAGTTTCTCCTCACAAAATGAGCAGCCAACAGATGAGGCAAAGAATGCCCTCAGGAGCATCCATTTATCTCTCCTGTCTATAGATAAATATCCCAGAGGGAGATTTCTCTCTTCGTGGGCAGATGAATCCTGCTCCAGACAACAGAAACCACATGACTTTCTCTGCACATGAATACCAAGAAGGATGAGCTTCTCTGGAGCCTTTTTCTGTGCAGCTGGGCAGGGATTGTTGCCAGGCCTTGCCTGTGGAGTATGGCCTGTTGCCCAAAACTATCTAAGAGTTTTTAATAGCAAAGTTTTCTATGGGACCTCAGTTGTTGAGGATGTTTTTGACCTCTCCTAGACTTTGAGATACATTCTTCCTTGTGGCTTTCCATCTGTATCCTAGAAACCTCCACTGGCATTGGCTGTTCTAGAATGTGTCAAGGACCTCCTTCACAGGTGCCTCCTGTTCCCCAGGATCTCCAAGACCTGCCTGTCTCTCTGTCACTCACATTCAGGATGCCTTGGAGCAGCACGCTGTCCCGGATCCTCCCGTCATTCCTTGCCTTCACGGCCAGGTTGGAGAACCACACACATGGGATCCAAAACTTGTTGTGGGGGGAATTCAAGCTCTCAAACTTCTTGTGCTCTTCTGGTGTCATGAGGCCTGGATGGGAAAGAGCAGATGGGAGAAGGAGGGACATAGAGGGCAGAAGGAACTGATCTGGTCTGAAATGAAAACATCGGAATCTCAGGTGGATGCCTTGGCTCTCCCTAAAAATTCCAGTAAAAACTCAGAACTTGGGGAGACATGTAGAAGGACAAGTGTCCTTGTTAAAACATTGAATCCTGGAGGTGGGATAATGAGATTTCACTCTGGATGTCTGCAGCACATCAGATCAGAGTCATCAGGGAGATAAAGCACTGCTGACAGTGCGGCTTCCTGGTGTCCACAGATTCTTGTTGAGAAGGGGATCATTTGTGTCCCTAGAGTGCCTTTTCTTTTTAGGAGGCCAACAATATTACTTCTCTGTGAATTGCCAAAGGAATCCAGACAATGTGGGCAGACTGGGAACTGCTGCACCTTGAGGAGCATCTCCCAAGAAGATTCAAGGTGCCCAGCAGTTAAACTCAGAGAGCCGGGGCTGGAATTCCCACCTGCCCTGAGGGAACAGCACCACCCCATTTCCAAAAACGCTTTCCCAGGGGGCCCTGCCCCTAGAGGAGCAGCAGGGGCAGTGCTGACCTGCCCTGACGACGTGCTCCATGCTGGGGAAGCGCTTGTAGACGGCGGTGCTGACGGAGCGCAGGATCAGCACGCTGACCAGGTTGCTGTAGCGCATCAGGGTGCGGCGCAGGAGCCGCCCGTACTCGTCCTCCCCATCCACGTTGCAGGACACCAGGTTCATGATCCGGTCTGGCCATGGGATGCTCTCGTACTGAGCCCACCAGCGGGACACCACCAGGGCCACATAGAAACCTAGAGGGGAGCAGAGAGAGTCAGGCATCTGAAAAGAGCTTCCTCCCACTCTGTCTGCTCTCCTCTTCCCCTGCTCACACAGGGATGGGTGCAGGAATGTCTGGAGGGGAATTCAGTCCTCCATGCTAATAGAATCAGAACAGTTTAGGTTGGAAGGGACCTTAAAGAGGATCTCATTCCAACCCCCTGCGATGGACAGAGACATCTTCCACTATACCAAGTTGCTCAGAGCTCCACCCAGTGTGGCCTTGAAAACTTCCAGGGATGAGGCAGCCACAAATTCCCTGGGCATATCTGATGCCACTTGGAGCTTGCCCTCCTGTGCTGGGGGACACTCCCAGCTGTGACAATAAAGGATATATCCCACTTGAGGAGTTTTACAAAGGCAGAGAGAGGGAGCTGCTCTGCCAGCAGAGCTTTGCTGAGCCAAGGAGCAGAAATGTTGTCCCATTTCCCTCCCTGCTGGATTCCTGACAGCTCCTTACCCAGCACGAAGGACACGGGGATTAGCTCGGCGTAGCTGTTGCAGTACAGAGCCAGCTTCTCGAACATCAGCCTTTGGCTCTCGCTCAGGATCAGCCTAAAAGGGACAAACAGAAGCAGTTCTCCCTCTCCCTTCTCTCCTTTGTCCCCTCCCCTTCCCTCCTGTGAGCAGAGTGCCTGTCCAGTGGGATCCCTGCCCCAAACCTGTGTTTCTCCCATGTCCTGCCCCAGGCCAGGCTGTGGATGTGAAGTTGCTCACCTGTAGACAAGGCTGATGGTGAAGTAGAGCGAGATGAAGATCAGGAACTCGGAGTAGAGCAGTTTGTAGATGCTGCCTTTCCACTGGAGCAGGAGCTGGGAGAAGGTGCCCAGGCGGGCATCAGCCACGCGGTTGGTGTAGGTCACTGTCATCACAGCTCCTGTGCAGGCACACGACAAGCAGGGCTTGGAGCTTGAGCAGGAGGAGGATACAGGGGCATCCCAAGTGTCCCATAAGCAAGATGGAAAGGAAGGAGAAAACAGAATGAGCTGAGATCAAAAGCCAGGTAAGATGGAGGCAGCAGCACAGAGAACCAGGAAGCAGTCCACAGCAGGCAATTAATTTGATGAGTTTGCCAACTTTTCTCTGTTCTTGAGCTGGTTATAGTGACCAAGGATGTGTTTTCTGGTGGACTCCTTTGCTTTTAGTGTTTGATTTTTGTCAGCATTCAAGTGGGGCTGGTTGGTTGGAGAGGACAGAACACTTGTGGTAAGATTAATCTCAGGGTCACAAACTCCAAAGTTTATGCTTATTCCAGTAATTTTCTTAATATAGTTTCTGTTGCAAATATGTTTCTGTAAACCTACTTGCTGGGAAATATCTTCCTGGAATACTGCAGGAAAAAAAAATACCCAACCCAAAGGAAAGGAAAATCCCCAGAATGATTTCTTGGGACTGATCCAGATGAAGGCATCCCAGCAAGGATAGCTGCCTGCACTCTGCTGGTCCTAGTCCTGCAGGCAGAGCAACCTTCCCTGTTGGAGATCTGTGGGATGGAGTTGGGCCAGCCTCACAGGGCCCAAATTCCAGGAGCTCCACCTCCCTTCTCCTTCAACCATATGTTGCACAATAAATCACAGTGGCTGAAAAATAGGCACTCAGGCTCCTGAAATGCTCCCCAGACATGCAGCATCCCCATTTCACTTCTAGTCTAACTTGCATAAATAATTCTTTATAATCAATTAATAATCTGACTCATAGTTGCATAAACCTGAATTTATTTTAAAAACACCCCAACAAATAACAAGACACCTGTGTTATCCATGCCAGGCAGATTGGTGAATGACTTCTTGGGTTAGAAATAATTATCCAGTGTGAAACTACTGGTATTTCTGAATCCTAACATGTCACCAGGCATTACTATTTAACAGAGGTAATAATGTTAATTATTATGAGGCCTTGGGCTCTTCCCTGAATGATGGGGATGAAGAAGCACTTCAGGGGACAGTTCACACCCTGAAGCAGCTGAAGGCAGGTAAGTTTGGGTCCATATTCCTCATTTATTTCTCATTTAAACATCCCAGTGAAAGATTTATACTTAGGTGGGGACAACTCAGGTCCCAGTGAGCTGCTGACAAAAACCAGCAAAGTCTGGATTTTTGGCTATTTCAACCAAGCAGCATCTTTGTCCTGGGTTTGGATTTTTGGTGCTGCTCCTCCTTTGGGTTTCCCTGTCATAACTCAGGTTCCTGAGTCCCCTCTTAAGGGTGATAGAGAGGAGCAGAGCTGTCCCTGTCCCTAGCTGCACAAATGCCCGTTTCAGTAAATCATTGTGTCCATTCCATATGGATTTCTGGGTACAGACCTGGGCAAGAGTGGGTTTTACCTGCCCCAGAGATTGCACACAGGGGCTGTCCAGAAGAAAAAGCATGCCAAAACCCCATGCATTTTTGGGGCCCCTTACACAAAGCTGCAACTTTTCTCTGGGCTTTGGGGCCCGAAAGCACTCAGGGAGATTCTTTGTTGCGTAATTCAAATACAGATTCCCTTTTTTTACCAAAGAAGGAAAACTCTAGCTCTTGTCAATGCAAATAATGGATGTCACCCACCTCTACTCCGTTCTGCTCCCATCTGGGATATGGGGATTTTCCCAATGCTTTTCCCTCCACCCCTGAATGGTTAAGGCACCTCCCTGCCCACCTGCCAGCCTGTGCTGGGCTCCCCTGGGATGTCACTGGGCAGCTGGCACGTTCCATTTGTGGCTGAGGTCCATGGCTGGAGGTGGCTCACTGGCACACCGGAGTCAGGATGGGCAGGAAGAGCCCACCCAGGGAGCTGCTGCCTGCCACTGCCTGCATCCCCTGCTCATCCCTCTGGACTAGCCAACACACCTGGAAGTCGACTGACCTGGAATCCCGTTGTGGGAACCCACAGCAAGCAAGATTCTGGGACATCAGGTGCATCACCCACCGCAAACAGACCCAAGCAGGACAATGAGCAGACAGAGCAGAGGGACAGAGCCAGAGGAGGTCACAGATAGGCAGGAAGACGGATCTCTGCAGGAGAGAGTGATCCTCCTGCTGCTGTTAGGGGGATCAGATACTCACAGTCATGGGCTCCTGAGCCGTGCTGGAGGCTGGGGAGGTTTGGTCCTGCACGTGTCCCCGCTGGGTCCTTTGTGGCCCGGGCCACCGCCCGCCTCCTCGTGCCCCCTTGGCTCATAGGGGGATTGGACCTGCCCCACACGGTGTGCTAAGGAGCCTGAGACCCACTTGGGAGCTGCAGCCGGTCACTTGATGCCATAATCCCTCCTCATTACAAAAGAGACTCTGTTGTCTTTTGCCCTGTTCCCTCCTAATCTTCTGAGTAAGCCCTGCGTGTTTATAGAGGCGGCCGGAGGAGGGGGAGGCAGGGCTGGCTGCTTCGCTGCTGCTAACTCCTGGCACAGCCATGGTGGCTGCCAGAAGAGAGGCATTTTTCCTCTAATTCTTTCCTGTTTGGTCCCTCTCTCCGTGTCACAATCTTACAGGAACCCCAGGAGATTATGCAGGGCTGGAATTTTCCACCAAGGCTGTAAAACGCGGTGCGCTTGGGGGCTGCCCTCTCTTCCCTAGGTCAGTGAAACACCTGGCCCATGTTCTGCCTGGCTCTCACAGGATGTTTCCCCGTCATCCCTTGCTGTCCCTGGATGAGTTTGCCACCTCTTCCAGCTGTGGTTTGGATACTGGGGATTTCCACTCTGCCACTGGCTCTCCAAGACTCTTTCCTGTGTTTGCTTTCTTTTGCTCTTGCTTTTCCAGCAGTACTTGAGAGTTGTTACTGTGCTTCCTTGCAAGACATCCTGGGAAACATTGGTCCTTGCCTTGTCCTCAAACTTCCACCAAACCAGGAGACTCCTTCCCTCTGTCTTCCCAGGGTCCTTAGTCCCTTTTCTGCTCCTTCCCAATTGTGACCATCCTTCCCTTCCACCACCTCCTGAATGCCTCTAGTCAGGTCTTTAGTAGGACATTCCTGTTCCATGAGGCTCTGAATCAAAATATTTTCTTAATGAACTGGTCTTCCATCCTTTAGGCAGCTGTGGGACACTGTGGAGAGGGAGCACAGGTTTGATCCTTGCAGGTAAGAGCAGCTGGAGACCCAGGCTCCTGTAATAACCAACTTTCTCTTGTGCTTTGTCTTTGACACGTACTTAACATCAGTAGCTGGGATCAATTTGTCTCAGCTGTAGTTTTCTCCTTCCTGTGGCTGATCCTTGACAAGGGGAGTGGGTTGTTTCACTGCTCCTCTGGAGCAGGTGCTGCCTGGCATCTGCCTGGTGTGGGATTTCTGGTGCAGTCCTGGGAATTGCTGCAAGTGGCAAGGAGATCATAGTTTAAAACATGGATTCTGTGAAGGGAGATGAGAGCAGGAGGACCCTCTCTGAGGGGAATGTGGTCCACTGCCAGGGATGGAATTGGTGAACAGGCAGACTGAGATTTTGAGGCTCTTAGTGCCTGAACCTTCATCCCCACACACAGGAGGAGGAGGAGGGAGACCAAAATGCTTCAGGTGAGACATTTGCTGCAGGTTTGGCTGCTCCTGGGGACATGGAACAACCTCGTGAGTGTCCTGCTGTTTGTGGAGGGATGAGCTGGCATCTGGGGGCCTCTGCTGCCCTCCTCTGAGAGCAGCTCTTCTGGCAGCTTGTGTGCTCCACAACTGCCCTTGGGACAGCAGGAAATATGTGTGGAATTTAATATTAAAGTAAATAACTGAGGGGCTACCAGCGTGGCAGAGCTGTCTGGATCTCTTTCCACATCCCCTGTGGCCTCAGACCCTGAGGAAGAGGATGAAAGCCTGCCTTGTTCAGCAGAGCAGGAAGCAAAGAGGTGCTGACATCCATCCTCAGAGCCTGGAATCATCCTCATTCTCTTCATGTTAAAGACGGAGAGATTGAATTGCTGTGCTGGGAGTTGAATCTCTGTTTTGGGAATGCCAAAGGGCCACTCTTAATGCTGAGGTAGCAGTAGCTGGCTAGGAAAGGCACAGTGCCCTTCTTGCTCTCTCCCAGAGAATAGTAAGTGTTTTTAGGGACAGCAGGTCCCAAAGTTTGGTGAAATCCCTTTCCCTTCTCCAGTTTCAATGCTGGGATAGACACAGAGGCAGCTGGCATCAGACCTGTCTCTCAAAATTACATTCTTCCTTGGAATCTGATGTAATTTTTTTTTAAATGAAGTGGGAAGTGTCTGGGGAGATGCTGTTTTTTATGGATAGGATTTACTCAGAGGTTTGAGCTGGCCAGAAATGCTTGAAGAGGATACAGTGACCCTGCAGTGCTTCTATGAGCACCCCCAAGCTTGTTGCCCTTATGCTGCAGAATTCCTCACTAATTCTGTGCCACCCTGGGCTGCCCTGGGAGCTGGGGGTACCTATCCCTGTGCCAAGCTCCATCTCGCCCTTTGCATTTTGCTTTTAGGGGCTTGGATGGTGACAAATCTCTCACTTTCCCTCTGAAGCTCCACAGTTCAGTGCATACATCATGAAAATGAGGGAAGGGTCCTTAGTGAGGTCCCTCTTCTCTTGCCTTAGGAATTGTGGTGGGGATTAGGTGCCAAAGGGAGGATCAAACATGCTGGTAATCAGAGACCCAGAGGAGCCTTGCTGCAGCCCTTGCAGCCAGCTGAGCAAACATGTGGTACAGCCAAGGAGCCAGCCAGGAGGGGGTGGATGGAGCTTGGAGTTTTAGGCCATTTGTTCTCCTTTCCAAGGCAATAACATCCGGTTTGAGTTTGCTGGGTGAGTGGGTCAGATCCTGCTTTTCAAACTCAAAGATAATCCCTGTTCTTCCTTCCCTTCCCAGCCTCTGTCTGGCTTTTTCCTTTCCTCCCTTCTTCCACCTTTCTTTCCCTTTTCCTTTCTTCTTTTCTTTCTTGTCTTTTCCCCTTCTTCCTTTCCCCTTCTTCCTTTCCCGCTTCTCTTCTGGGAAGAAGAGGGGGCACATGCCATTCTCCCCCTTGTGACAAGTTACTTTTTCAAGTGGCTGGGATTCAGCATCTCCAGCACATCCCTCTCAAAGCTTCCTGTCGGCACTGTCAGTTCTCATCCTTCTTGCCTTTGTTGGCTTCTGGAAGCACTTCTACCTTTCTAATCCGAGGACCCTCTGTCGCTGCAGCCACGCCTTGGGAGTTAATAATTACAAAGACTAATTACTTCTGGTGCTGCTTTGCAGAGCTGAAGATCTTTCACCTCCTCCCAAAAGCTCCCTGAAGATAGCAAAGGTTGCAGCCAAAGACATAAACATCCCGGACAAATTCTCAGACTTGAGAGCATGGGCTTGGCCTGTGTGGTCCCCATGGATCCCAGCCATGAGGCAGGGCAGGGCTGCAGGTGACACGGACACCCAGGAGATGCTGGGACAGAGAATTGCTCCCTGTGTGGTATCCAGGGCAAAACCCTGCAGTGGGCACGAGGATCACCATGTGTGACTGTCCTGCCTCTGGTGCTGGGTCTGTCCCAGAGGCAGAGCATGGACAAGCTGAGAGCAAGGAGGGAGCTGTGGCTGTGTATGGAGGCTCCAAGGGTGTACAGCTGCCTGGAGGGAAACCTAGGGCAACGGCAAGGTAGGATGTGATGGGAAATGTCCGCTGAGGGCAGGAACAGTTTTTGGTTCAGAATCCCAATGCTGTCAATCCACAGATGGCAATGGGATCCGCTATGGGACAGGGGTGACACCAGGAGTGGTTTGCCGGTTGGGTTCCGAGCCAGTGCTCTCCTTGAAGTATAAAAACCCTGGACAATCAGCAGCCTAGCCAGGCTTCCCCCATCCTTCCACTTTCCTGCGTTTACATCCCAGGTTTCCCCTCTCTATCGGCTTTGTGGGGCACCGTTTTGGTAGTGGGGGGCTACAGGGAAGCAGAGATCCACCTGCAGCCCATGGAGGAGCCCAGGCTGGAGCAGGGGCATGCCCAAGGGAGGCAGTGACCCCACAGGGAGGCTGTGCTCCTGGCAGAGCATGGGGGCAGGACAAATTCCAGCCCTGGAGCTGCCTATTCCTGAAGGACTGACCCTGTGCAAGGGACCCACGCTGGGGCAGTGCATGAAGAACTCCTTGGAGAAGGAGGATTTCTCCTGTGGGAGGAACCCCACGCTGGAGCAGGGGCGGAGTGTGAGGCATCCTCCTTTCGAGGAAGAAGGAGCAGCAGAGACAGCAGCCCCCATTCCCCATCCCGCAGACGGGAAGGAGGCGGAGGAAACCAGGAGCCATTCCGAGCCGGGGACGAACAGCGGAGCGCAGGGACATTTCCTTTTCCTTCCTCACCGCCCCGCGCTGAGCCGGTGGGTGACAATTCCCAGCTAATTCCCAGCTCCAGCCCGTCCTGCGGAGCGACCCCTCAGGCCCCGGCGGCGCTGAGGGCGCAGCCGCGCCGGCATCACGTGAGGCGGGGCCGGGGATCGGCTTGGGATCGGCTCCGGGAACGGCTCTGGATCCTCCGGGCAGGGATCCGGCTCTGATCCCTCCGGGCACGGATCCTGCGGCGGCTCCGGTTTAGGTCCCTCCGGGCACGGCTCCTGCTCCGGCTCCTCCGGGCGCGTCTCTGCTTCTCGCCGCGGTTTCTCCCCCGGGCACGGCTCCCGGTGCCGGCGCGGCTGTCCCGGCCATGGGAGCGGCGGGCGCTCCTCCGCCGTGAGCAGCAGCGGCAGCAGCGGCGGGACCCAGCGATGTTGCGGGGGTAGGTGCGGGGCTGGACGGGGAGGGACTCTGTCCGTGTGCCGGGGCTCTGTGTCTTCCTAGAATCCTGGGATGGTTTGTGTGGGAAAAAGTTCCCTTCTGGAAAGGACGCCTTCATTAGACCGGGTTGCTCCAAGCCTTGTCCAGCCTGGCTTGGGCACTTCCAGGGATGGGGCAGCCACGGCTTTTCTCTGGGAAATGCATTCCATCACCCTCACAGGGAAGAAGTTGCGTAAGGAGATGGAATAAGGAGGCAGCAGCATCCCCAAACACAGGACTTGGCATTTCATTGCTGAGGCAAAGACAAGAAACTCCAGTGTGTTCTGCTATAATGTAATGACATAAAAACATAATAAACCACTGTCGGATGCTTTGCCAAACATTTGGGAGATGATGCTGAGCACACATAGGATGATGAGCCACTGTGAACTGATGCTTGTCCAGGCATCCATCCCGGTGGGGATGGAAAAGTCAGGCCCTGCTCCTAAACCTGCAGTAAGAGTTTAACCTGGAGAGAGCCAGAGGTTGCTTGCACGGGAAACAACCCCGTCGGATCAGAGCTGCAGGAAACATGTGGGGCCCGCTGGAAAAAGTGCAGATCCTGCACATTTTTTTGCTTTTTCTACAGAAACCAACTTTAGAAGGTTGTGGGGTGTTGGGGATTTTTTTTTTCTTTTCTGTGTAGGTTTGCATTTCTTGTGTCAGAGCATGACTCTTAGGATATGATCCATTTTTCCTGGAAAGGCAACTAGCTAGCAGTCAGCAAGAGAGGGAGTGTTTGTGGTGGTCCTTTGGTCTCTGGGATTGGATTTCAGAGCCCCACCTGGACACTGAGCAGAATCCAGCACAGTCAAGGCTTCCAAAGGGATTCTATTTGCACAGCGTGGAGAAAGAATGAGCTACTCCATCATAGATGGTTTTCCAGGATATGTTTTTGGCATTACAGAGTGTGGGTGGGACTGTTTAATTCCTCCATATCCTCCAGTTTTCTTCCGTAGTGTGTGGAAATACGCTGAAATATCTGTCTCCTGAGGCAACTTTCAGCTGAGAATTACAGAGTCATAAAAGAACAACATTATTTTTTCTTCCTGTGGGTTAGACTAAGTGTATTTCTGTCAGTAGACTGGTGAAATGTCCTGTTCTTTGCTGCTTCTTTTTAAAGTCATTTTTACCCTCTGTGCTCTGGTTTCCTTGTTCCTTTCTGGTGTGATTTCTTCCCAGTGTTCTGAGAGTTCTCCATGTGTGCTTTTCCACATGCTTTCCTATGATAGCAGAGCTGATTTAGCTGGGAGCTGCTGCTTTGTTCCCTCTTTGGAAGGTGACTGTGGACGGCTGTTGGTCTTGGACAGCTTGGGAGGCACAGAAAGGGAGAAAATAGAGTGGAAAAGGTGATAGGACACTCTGGGACTGAAGAGATAAGCCCAGCCTGTGTGAAGTCAGAGCAAGGGGAAAGAATGTGGCCCGGCTGAAATGCAGGAGAGGAAAACACAGAGATGGGGCAAAGGGAAGAGGAAAAAGTGAACCTGAGCAAAAAGAGGTGATGGCTGCTCTGCAGGAGGAGGTGGTGGGCAAGGAGCAGTGTCCAGGAGCGTGGGAGGAGGTGCATGAAGAGAAGGGCAGCAGAGCTCAACCAGGGCTTGTGAGCCAGAGATAAACAGCAGCAGGTTAATCTGCAGGACAGTGTCTGTGTCTGGGCAGGATAGAAAACTTCCACATTAGGAGGGCTTGGACACGCTGCCCCTGCCTTCAAATGGAGGGAGATTCCATGAGGAGAGCTCAGTGAGGAAGAGGAGGAAAGCAAACACCTCAGTGACAGCAGTGCCCTGCACGCAGGCACTCAAATGATGTTTCCCATTCCTAAAACTTCTCCAGCATCTGTGTTAATTTGGGAGTTGACAGAGCCCTACTGAGCACAGGGTGCAGTGTCCTGGGTCACTCTTCTGGTTTCTTCTTTCTAGGACATCTCTGGTTGCTGGCCACTGAAACTAAAACATAGGGCTTCGACCCAGCCTGGGGAAAGTACACTGGTTTAAACATCTCTGTGGAGGATTTAGGTGGGAAATAGGTGGGAAAATAGGTTAAAAATCGGTTAAAAATAGATCTTTTTCCCCTGAAGCAGGTGCAGAGGGGTAGAGGAAGGCTGGGTTGGCACAGAGGGGATTGGAGTCTTTATATTAGGAATGGGAAAGCTGTATTCCTTTCTTTTGCTGCTTCAGTAGGGAAGTCTGACCTTAAGTCTACCAGGTGTATCCTGGAATCCTAAAAATCCATCTGCAGGGTGTTTTTCTTGGACAACAGGTGAGAATGGGATCCCTGGAGGAGCTGTCCTTAGTTCTCCTGCCTTATCCTCAGTTAATAAGCACGCCCTGCCAAAAGGGCATTCCATAGCGATGCAGGGCAGAGGAACTGGTGCAGCTGTTGCTGCCCAAATTCTTGCCCATCACCCTCCGTGCCTCATTCCCACTGCCCGTGCCTGGGGCTGGATGTGTTGTGTGTTGAAGGAAGGCTCTGGGTCACCCCCACGCTCATTTTCCCTGTGCTGTTACCCCACAGCCAGGTCAGTGTTGAGGAAGAGAGCCAGAATCCATCCGCTGTGGGACACTGGAAGCCCCTGATGCCATCCAAAGGTGACAGGGAGGAGCCAGAGAGTGGATGCCAGGATGCTGGAGGTGTGCACGAGCCCCAGTCCACGGAGCAGCTCAACGTGTCCCGGCTGCGCAGCTCCTCGGTGGAGATCCGGGAAAAGGGATCAGAGTTCCTGAGAGATGAGCTGCACAAAGCACAGAAGGTGAGCCCCAGGGATTTGGGGAACTCCTGGGGAGGGTGGCACAGGTTGGAGCAGGGGGGGCTTTCCTAGAGGTGATGACAGGAATCTTAGGTCAGGGATCAGGTGCTGGGACGGGGAGGAAGGGCTGGGGTTGACAGGTTGGAGGAGGGCATCAGCATTCCTGTACCTCTCCGTTTCCTCAACAGGAGCTGAAGCTCAAGGACAAAGAATGTGAGAGATTGTCAAAAGTCAGGGAACAGCTGGAGCAGGAGCTGGAGGAGTTAACAGCCAGCCTGTTTGAGGTACCACCCTCTTCCTTTTGCCATCATTTCTTAAGCTAAGCTTACATCCAGCTCCTTTAAGACAGGCTTTCCCTGGACTTCCAGCCATCCCCTCCCACAATTTCCTCCTCTTCCCTGTTGTTTTTTCCCACTTGGAGAAGCAGAGCTGGCCAGTGCTGCAGGTGGAGCCTTTACCTGGATTTCTTTCCCCTTCTAGCAGCTGTGGGGTGGCATAAAGAGCACAGTAGTTATCGTTCCAAAATGTGGGAATAGCTGGAGCCAGGCACACTCCCTGTCCGTCTCCATGCCTGCTCTGTAGTCTGGGCAGCTGCTGTGCAATAGAGATGATTCCCTGGCTCATCCCAGCCATTGCTGGGGGTGGGAACATGCTGGATATCCTCATCCACTCTGCTCCAATGAGTGTCCACAAGGCCTGTTTTGTTGGCTTTGTTTTGTTTTGGTATTTTTTTGTTGTAACGTGATTCTTGCCAAGCTGTATCCTGGCAAAATCCCATTCCTAGCAGCTCTGATGTCTGGATCTGTCTGGATAATGAGGAAAGCCAGAGCCCATCTGTGCCTTTGAAACACAGGGCTGTGAGAGCCAAGGGAGCACCCCCTCCCAAAATTTTGGCTGTCTGAGCACAGGGTGATCTTGGAGATCATGCAGCCAAGGGCTGTCCCCTTCCTTTCTTTGGTGGTCTTGGCCAGATGCTGTTTCCAGACTGCAGAGAGGCCCCAGCTGGGCTTCATCCTTCTCTTCCTGTGGGAGAAGCTTCCAAGGCAGTTTCCACCATTTGGCCCCCAGGTGAGCCCCAGCTCCTGCTGTGTCACAGCCTTGCCTGGGGCAGTGGGGACCAGCTGCTCCCAGAGGGAGGCAGGAGCAAAGTGCAGTAACAAGGCAGACAGCAGCAGTGCCCTCACCAAGATGTGGAGCAGCAAGTCTGGATCAGGATCAGAGCCACAGGCAGCAGGCAGGGTCAGGAATCAGTGCAGGGATCACCCAGCAAGGCTGCAGTGGCTGCAGGAACCAGGCTGAGGTGAGGTTGGAGTCACAGAGCTGTTGGAATAGGGGCAGGCACAGCTGTAGTGTGGAACAGGTGGGTTCTAATGTTAAAGCAATTCCCAAGGGCAAGGAAAGGCAGGTCCTTGCTTCTGGCATTCTTCTCAGCAGCCCCTATCAGTGAGAGATGACCTTGGCCAGCTAAACTCCTTAACTTAGCCAGCTGCACTCCTGGAAAGGGGATGCACTCCAGGCTCTGGCACTGGGAGCCTTCTCTAGGAAATTCTGAGGGAAGGCTTGGCCCAGCTGATGGAGCACACCCCTTGGATGGGCAGGGATGTCTGTCCCTGTGCCTGGAACGTGTGATGTGCCAGATATGTCACCTACCTTGGCTATGTGAGCTGGGGTGCAGCAGCTGAATTAAAACTCTCTCTGGTGCAGGAAGCCCACAAGATGGTGAGAGAAGCCAACACCAAGCAGGCTGCAGCAGAGAAACAGCTCAGGGAGGCCCGGGGCAAGGTGAGTGAGTGACTCTGTGACTTCATTTTTGAGATTGGTTTGGTGGCATCTCTGTCCAGCCTGGCCACAGGGCTGGTTTTTGGCTGAGCAGAGTGAAGTGCAGCTTCAATTCTCTGAGATGTTGTGGTCCCTTTCCAGCAGACACTGGAGTGAGAGGGAAAAGTCTTCACAGACATCCTTGCAGTCTTCTACTGATCCAGCTCTCACTTGGGAAATGGATCCACAGAGAAATAACGAGTTTAATTGTCACAGCTCTGGGATGGAAGGATAGAGCCAGGACCCGGGGAGTTGGAATTTCCTAACACGGCTAAATCACAGGGCTGCTCAAATGGCTCCATCTTGAGGAGAGAGAAATTTCTTTGGAGTTACTGGTTCTGAAAAAAAGCCTGGGACAAAAGGGGTAGATTCCCAAACAGCTGCTGTTTAAAATTCTGGATTACAGTGGCACTGGGAGGATGGGGAGAGGCTTGGTGGCTGGGCTTGTAGCTACTTTCCTGTGGTTCCAGTGTTTGATGGGGTGCAGCAGAGTTGTGGTTTCAGAGTTTGATGGGGTGCACAGCCTGGAGCCCAGCAGGTGCTGAGGGTGCCTGTTGCCTGTGTGCCCAGATTGACATGCTGCAGGCAGAGGTGACAGCCCTGAAGACGCTGGTGATCACATCCACCCCGTCCTCCCCGAACCGGGAGCTGCACCCGCAGCTGCAGAGCCCTTCCAAAGCTGGCTTCAGGAAAGGCCACGGGCGCAACAAGAGCACCAGCAGTGCCATGGTGTCAGCTGCCAGCCAGAACGTGGCTCCAGAGCCTGCCAGCCGGGAATGCAAAGAGGTGGGTGAGGAACATTCACTGCATCAGCCTCGGGAGCTCCGGGCTCGCACTCCCCGCGGAGCTCTGTGGCCACTCAGCAGCTGTTCGTGCCTTGTTCCCGAAATTTGTGCTGAGGCAAGCACTGGAGGGTTTCCTTTTGTGGGGATTTCCTCTTTGTTGGGGCAGGAAGCAGTTGGGGGATCGCTGAGGGGCAGATCCAGGGGGTGCCAGTGCTGTGAGCGGGTATCGAGAGCTGCCGAGCACATGCCAGTTCCACTAGCCAGATGTGGGCACAGCTGTCCTGGGAAGCAAATAGGAGGCACTTGGTCAGGAAAAATGAAACTGAAGAAGAATGTGGTGGGGGAATACGTCTCACTAGTGATTTTTTGGGAGCTGCAGCCTGTGTCGTGGAGAATTGTTGAGGGAACACAAAGGCTTGTTAAAGATTTGGATCTGTCATTTTTTTCATGGAGGCAGCTTCCACAGGATGCAAATCTCGTGGGGTTTCAAATCTCAGGGCTCAGTCTCCGGAGTGCCCAGTGTTGTGTATCAAGGATGGGATGAATTTTTGTCCCTCAGAATCCCTATGTGAGAGGTGATAAAAGGGAACCTGGCATTCAGAGTTGGTGCTCTATGGGAAAGATCTTAAATTGAGCCTAAAAATGGTGATTTCTGTTCCCTTTTTGCACCTCACGCTGAAGTCTAAATATGTGGCTCATGGCCCTGTGGTGCCTTGAGGACCATGCTCAGTTCCTGCAGGGGAGGACTTGAGCCTTTCTCTGGATCTCATGTTTTTTACCTCCCTCTTTGCCTGTCTCTCTAAACCTCTTCCTTCACTGTCTGTCTCTCCCTCTGCCCTCCAAGTCTGGTTTCCCTGCTCTCCTCTCCCTGCTCCTTTGCATCCTCCCTGGGAAGGCTATCCACATCACCTATGAGCCAGGCTGGCAAGCCCTGGGAGCAGATGCTTCCTCTTCCTCCTCCTCCTCACGGCAGGTAACCAACCTCTGGGAACGGGTGGGACCCACCTGCCTCTCACACTTCCAGCCTTTCAGTTCCAGCTTCCTTTTATGCTAATCTCCATTTTTTTCCTTTCATTTTGTTTTTTTCCATCTTGTGTCTCTGAAGCTGCTGCTGGTCCCAGGTGAGCAGTCTCCATGGCACAGAGGGAATGTGCTGGAATCTGGGCTTCTCCAGCTGCATTCACTCATGTTCTTTATGTTGCTCAGCTTAGTTTTATTCTTTCCTTTCAGAAGCTTTTGTTGGGCTTGTAGGAGCTGCTCTGTCAGTCAGGTTGCTGCTTTGCCCAGTGATCCATCTGGGATTTAAATCCCAGATCCCACAGAGTCTCCTATTGCCCCTCAGCTGCTCCCATCATTCCTGCCACGGGTTGAGCATGCACTTCATCTGTTCAGTGGTTGTGTGGTGGCTTTCCTGCAGCCACAGGAAGGAGGAAAAGCCACCTGGAGGAGACTGGGACAGAGAGGTGCCTGCAGGCTTCTGGCACACACGGCCCAGGGTGGCTGTGTCACTCTGGCACAGAACTGCTGCTGGGTGGGAAACAAGAGATCTTGGAGCCAGGCAGCTTCCCTCAGATACTGCAGTGGTGTCTGAGCCTCTCCAGATGCCAGAGCAGATGTTTCATGGGTTTCCTGCATCGTGACAGGTACTTTCTGACATGGCATTCCTCCCTCTTCCCCCTCCTCTTGGACGCTTGCTGCAGGTCGACTCCATTTTATTTGCTGAGTTCCAGGCCTGGAAGGAATCTCCAACTTTGGACAAATCCTGCTCCTTCCTGGACAGAATTTACAGAGAAGATGTAGGACCTTGTCTGGACTTCACCAAGCAGGAGGTGAGGGCTGGGAAAGCAGTAGCAGCTGGCAGCTCTGGAGCATTACCTTGCTGGAATTCATCCCTGCTCTCCCCTGTCTTGCTGCAGCTGTCGGAGCTGGTGCGAGTGGCTGTGGAGCAGAACACCCTCACCATCGAGCCAGTGGCTTTCCAGACTGTCCCCGTGGGCAAGGTGGCAGCAGAAGAATGTGGTGGCCCCAAGTAAGGACCCTGTGTCTCCCTGCCTTGTCCCCTCCTTGCTGCTGGTTTGTCCCCTGTCATGGAGGGGTGTGACAGGCAGCTTGAGGCCACCTCACACTATCAGGAGTGATGTGATGTGATGTGATGTGATATTCCAAAGAAAGAGGAGGGATTTGATTCAGATATTTAAGTCCTTCCTTACCTTCCAAGGTGTCCCTGTTTCCTACCATTCTGCAAATTTATTCCCCAAACGACCCATCCTGTGTTTATCCTTATTGGTTTCCTTTTGATTTTTTAAAATGATTTCTTTTGTCTTCACAGTGGCTTCCGGTCACAAATTGTAACGTAAGTGAAATATTTATTGTTCAGCCAGTGATCAAAGGTCTCTGGAGCATTAACAAGTCACTAACTCAGCACCTTGTGGCAGCTTGCTGAGCTGACCTAACTCTTTAACCCTGTTTAAATTCCACCCAGGCAGGATGGGAAGGAACCCATTGGCAATAAAAGACCCAAAAGGAATTTGTTCCCTTTTTTCCCCGGAAGCAAAACACTGATTTTTATGGCAGTTTTGGTTAGTTTGGTTGTGATAGCTGTGGTTTTACACCAAGTGGTACCAATCAAGCAAGAGTCACTCTTTTCCAGGATGTTGCTATGCTCAAATATGTGGCTCCTTCCAGGTATCTTGTTTACAGAAGTTTTGGTCATCCTGCACCTCCTGGGAATTTATTCTCCTTAAGCTGTGTTAATATTTGGTCAATGATTACTTCTACTTGCATCTGGACTCTTGGAACCCGTGCTTCCACTCTTGGCTAATGTTTGCCTTGAGAGCAGTGGAAAACAAGGCCAGGGACAAGCTCAGGAGCTCTCTGAAACATCTGCTCCACTCTGCTGTCACCTCCTGGGGCTCCCCAGAGAGGTTTTTTGCAGTTTGGGAGTGATGTTCCTCTTCCTACTGAGTCCCTGAGGAACGTGGTGATAACTGTGCACTAGAAAATTTTGCTTTATTGCTTGAAGTGGTGGTGGGAATCATCTGCCTTGCAAATAGCAGGAGAAAAGGGAAGAAAATAAAGGAATGCTGCACCCCTTGCTGATGATTGGAAAAGGCTGTTTTCACCCTCTGAAATCTCAAAATTGGGAAACCAAGCTCCTTTCCTGTATGCCCAAGGAGGGGTTGGCTTGTTTTGAGTTCTTGGTATGTGCAAATCCTGCTCAAATGCTGGATCTACCTGTTTTAGGGCCAGCTTTGGTGCCCAGCCAGCATGTTTACATCTCAGCAGGAAAGCTGATACACCTGAGCCTGCCCTGGAATGTGGGGGACATGTGCAGAGACCAGGGGACATTGGCTGTGCTCTGCTCCAGCCTCACCTCTGTAATATTTCATCTGGTTTCCTCTGGGGCTGTGTGTCAGGGAAAAGGAGCTTTCACCTAAAGTCTCCTGAACTTGCCATTTATGGAATATTTCCAGGAGCAAATGAATAACAACCAAGGGTTTGGTTTTTTTTCCTTCTTCATGCTGCCTGACCCAGGGGTGGCTTCTGCTCTCTCACTTCCATGTCTCCAGGTGGCTGAATTTCTGGATCTGTGCTGTGCTACTGGATTGCTGAAGTGCTTTTCCCTTTTCCTGCAGGAAATGTGCCCTGAGCGGGCTCCCCAGGACCTGCAAGCACCGGATCATGCTGGGAGATTCTGGAAATTATTACTACATTTCCCCTTCCTGCAGGGCCAGGGTGAGTCCCTCATCTCCTCAGGCTGCCTTGACTTTCCAGAATTATTCCATGCCCTGCAGTGGATGAGTTCCTGAGGGTCAGGAACTGAGGAAAAACTGGGGGATTTGAGGTTGTTCCTGAGGTTGAGGTAGCTCTTAGTTGATGGTTAGGGAGCAGATCCAGCTCTTTCTTCTGCTTTCAGATAACCTTCAGTGTGTTCATTTGCCATGATTTCATTCAGTACAGAGCTTTGATTGTTTGGCTTTATTGTTATTATTTAATTCCCCTTTGTAAAACACAACAATTTTCTGCTCTTTAGAGGCTGTTGCTGTTCCAGCCAGATCTGTGCCTGGTTGTGGGAACAAATTGTCCTTTCTGTGCAGGGGAGGGAGAAGGTAGATTGTTTGTTAATGTTACTGTTGGGGCTCTTGCTCAGTGGAGGATTTTAGAAGTTAATGCTTTCCTGAGCTGCATTTTTGCAGAGCTGATCCCACAAAAAGTTGGTTTTTTTTCTGTGCAAGTTTGACTCATTTTCATCACTCGCACCAAGTAATGTCTCAAATCTTTGTTCCTTTTTTTTCCCCTCTTTCCCTCTGTCCCTCAGATCACAGCAGTGTGCAACTTCTTCACCTACATCCGCTACATCCAGCAAGGCCTGGTGAGGCAGGATGGTAAGAGCTGGCTCCAGTGGGATGCTTTCTGTGGAGGAATTGGGAGGAATTGGGAGGAGCTGTTTGCAGTGACATGAGTGGGGCCAGCTGGGGCTGTCTGAGAAGCAGATAAATGACAAAAGAAAGGCATGAGGGGAGGAGTGGAGCATCTCTTCCTTGCTTATCAGCTTCCTGGGGGCTTTGCTCTGGGGTGGAGGGTAAGGGGTGCCCTGATGGGGCTGTCCTGCTTCCCTTCCTTTTGGGAATGCTGGGAGCACAGCAGAGCAGGAGCTGGTGGCCGGATGTGCCCTCCTGACCGATTTTTTTTCCCCTTCTGTGCCCCCTTTGTGCTTTGCAGTGGAGCTGATGTTCTGGGAGGTCATGCGGCTCCGGAGGGAGATGTCTCTGGCCAAACTTGGATTTTATCCCAGTGAGATGTGAGCAGAGCCCTGAGCGTGGAAGGAAACTGCTCCTGGAGGAAGGGCTTGGAGTGCAGTGCCTGCCCTGCTCCCTCCCACCTCCCCTCTGCCTGGAGCAAGGAGCAAGAGGCACAAGTTCCACCCATCCAAGTGTGACTGGAATGCAGCTGCCACGCTGCCCCTGGAGCTAGGCTGGCCCTGGCTGCTCCAGGATGGCCATCCGTGGACTCTGGACTCTCCTATATGCTGTGTATATCCATTTTTTTTAAACCTTTTTTTTAATATGCAGCCTGCTCTGGCATAACCTGAGGCCTGTGCAGGATAGGAATTCTGCACCTTCGTTGTGAGCCAGTCTGTCAGGACAGATGCTGGCTGTCTGTTCCACTCGTTTTTTTTGGGATGGAGGGTGCTGTCCCCGAGGTCCTACTGACCACAGCAGCCCTGAAAATGCCAGCAGAGCACAATAATCTTGAACAGTTTGTTTCCAAGTACTTCCTTGTTCCTTTTCAAGGAGCCTGTGAGAGGAGCTCGCTGCCAGCGGAGTCACAAAGAGGGAATTGTTCCTGTTTTTAGCTGGATGTTTGGCTCTGGGTTGTGCAGGCTGGGGAATGGCTGGAGCTGTGCACCTGGGGCCTCCAGCAGAAGAAAGGGAGCAGGAAATTCCCTAACTCCCAGCTGGCTGCAGGATTTTTCCCCCTGGACTAGGGAATCTGCTGCAGTTGTCAGAGGCAGATGCAGGACCCTGTGACAATCCCTGGTGTGAAGTCTCTCATGATGCTCCTAAACACAAACCTCACCCACAAACCACCCTTGGAGCTGTTCCTGCTCCTGAGGGAGCTTTGGGCAGTCCTGTTCCCACTCTTCAGGCAGAACCCATGTTCCCAGGCTGGATTCTTTGTGTCTCCAGGAGGAGCCTGCCCAGGCTGGGCAGTCCCAAAGCCCAGAGGTTCCTTCCCAGTGTTACATCAGACCTGGAGATGCCTGTCCACTGGGAATCACAACTTTTCCTGGGCTGCCATTCCCTGGTGAGGGAATGAGACCTTTGTGTGCACATGGGGGATGTGGCTGAAGTTCCTGCCTGCCCCAAAATGTGCTGGGAGGGAGGGATATCACTGGGGCTGTAGGAATGCACAGGCCTGAGGTCAGACCCAGGTTTATTAAAGCCATGACAGTATTTTGTAGCTATTTTAGCCTTTTTTTCAGTGACTCTGGAATCAGCTCAGCCATCACTCACTCTGGGGTTTTCACTTCTGACAGGGTTGTCACCCTGTCCCTCTGTCACCCTCAGCAAGCTGGTGCCCATCCATAATTCCATCTTCTCCTGAAGGATATTACAGCAGGAACTCAATTTTTTTCCACTGAGCTGCTGTATTTTGTCTAGAGGAGAGAGCAATAACACAGCTTTGGTTTCCCCAGCTGTGGATTTCAGCTCAGGTGAATTCCACCCCTGGAACTCCTCCCTGCATCTCTTCCCCCTGTCCTTTTGATCTCTCCATGTCTTCCTGTGCCATGAGCTGCTCCACTGCACAAACCTTGCAGCACTGGGAACGAGATGATCTCTCTGGGTAGGAGATGTTTTGGTTTGTGGGATATTTTTCCCCCCTCGGTGTCACATTGAAAAGCACTTTGAGACAGAAGGAACTGGAGCAATGCCTTGTCTGAGGTTGTCCTGCATTTCAAACGAAGCAGAGAGCACAATTTGTGAAATTTGTGAAGGAAAATGAAGTCACTCCGTTAGCAGCGGGATGGTTGCACCCTGCTCTTTCATAAAGGAAAATAAACATTTGCTATTAACCTCTACAAGCCTGGTTGGAGTTGAAAGGTTGGGGTGCTTGGGATGCAGGAGAAAATCCTACAGGATGGGGTTTGGGATGCTTTTATTAATCAGAGCAGGTACCTGTTCTATCTGAGGGAAGCTGAGGCGTCTCCTGGTCCGTTGTGTCTCCTTTAATTTGCTGGCTCAAAGCACTTTATGGGTGCTGGGTAACTGGAGGATCTCCTTGCTTCCTCTTTCCTGGTCACTCTCCCCCCTCTCCTCTCAGCAGGCAGAGGTTTTGGGTCTCTTTGGTTTCACTAAAACCACTTGTACCACTTCCTTTAACGTGGAAGATCTCCTCATCCCCTCTGGGAGATGACAGTGGGAGAGCTGTGTACAGAAAGGGGTTTAATTTCATTTTCACTGAAAAAGCCACGCAAGAATCTGGTTGTGCAGCACAGTCAGGCAGCCACGAGAGGGCACAGGCAGCCCAGGCAGGGACTGTCCTCCCTCCATCCCTCCCTCATTCTCTCCCTGTCTTCTCTGGGAGAATGGAGCATCTCCAGGTCCCACCCTGCAGCCTCTTGACAAGGAAACATTCCTGCAGCTTCCCTGCGCTGCTGGGAAAGGGAATTGGGAAGCTGGAGAGTGGAAAGGAGAGGGAGAATTTGGATTTCTGTAAAGGATGGTCAGCTGAGAGACTGGGAATGTTTTGTTGTCTTTCAGTGTAATGTCAGCAGGGATTGCTGTCAGAAACTTCTCTGTGACATTGGCTCCTAAACTTCTAATGTATGAGAAGACATCATGTCCCCTATCCACAACCTTTTCCACCTGAACTTTCCTGCTGTTTTTTCCCTCATAAATAAACCAGAGCTTGAGCAGAGTCTCTGGTACCTCCTGCAATCTTCCTTACATCTGTTTGCCCCCAGAAAGGGTCTGCCAGCCTGTACTGGACCAGAATAAAGAGCTTCAAAGGGATGGGAGTCCAAAAATCTTTTTATAAACGTGTTTGACTTGCTTGATTTTATCTCTCTTTCCCTCAAGTTTGGGAGAGAAAAGGGATATTTGGATGATGCTGGAGGTTAGTGTTGTGCACAATTAGATGCTTTTAAGCATTTGGAGATTACTTTTTGAGAAACTGGGGTTTAGAGCAGAGAGATTTGCTTGCTCCTGGCAGTTCCCTGTGTGTGCTGGCTGTGTTCTTTCCCTGCCTGTGGAACTACTCCAGGTTTGCTCAGGGTTGTAAATCAGGCTGTCTTTGCACAGCCGGTCAGGCTGTCCCCACACACCCACAGGGATGGATGGTTCCTGTTCCCAGGAACCAACAAATGAAAGTTGTTTTTTTGTTTTTTTTTTTTTTAATTATTATTATTTTCTCCAGAAATCTAAGAAAAGAGAGAAGATAAACAACTGGCCTCAGAAAAGTCAGGATTCTCCAAGGTTTCCCAACCTTCCTGTAGGATGAATCCATCAAAGCAATGAGAATCCCTGCAGACCTGGGCCAGCCATGGGGAAATTCCAGTCGTTCTGGACTTTCAGGGAGCGTGGCCCTGCCAGAAAAAAGTCAGATGTCCTGGCTCCACTCTCGGTGTGCACGTGGCACCCAGGACTGGGGCTGGCCAGCCCTGCCAAGGCAGCCCGTTCCTAATAGGAGCAAATCCCTGTGGTGCCACCAGTGCTGGGAGCCAAGAGGTCACATTTGCTGTTTATCATGTCAATATTCCCATGTTTGTGCAAGGCTCACTGGGATGAATGAGCTGGAAGGTTGCTTTAGCCAGGCTGAGAAGGCAGCTGGACTTTGTGCTGGTTTATATAACTTCCAGAGAATGTTTCATCTCTTTTGGGAGTAGATTAGGAAGGAAAGGGAATGTAGAGAAAATGAGATTCAGCCTACTTGTGGGGCTGGATGTGAGGGGAAGAAGGGGAAAATGGCCTCAAGATGAAGGAGAGTAGATTTGGATGAGATATTGGAAAGAAATCTTTCCCTGTGAGTGTGGGTAGGCACTGGCACAGGTTGCACAGAGAAGCTGCAGCTGCCCCTGGATCCCTGGAAGTGTCCAAGGCCAGGCTGGATGGGGCTTGGAGCAAGCTGGGACAGTGGAAAGTGTCCTGGTTTGGAATGAGATGAGCTTTGAGATAATTTCCAACCCAAACCATTCTGGAATTCTGTGATAAATCTGAGCTGCCCGTGGTGTCCTGGCTGAGGAGATGAAATAGTTCTGGCTGGAATGATGGAGCAGAGGGACAGCAGGGAAAGTTTAGGAAGGAAAAGGCACTCCTTAGCTTTTGTTTGGCTTAATCTTGAAATGATTCCCCTTGTAGGAGAAAACATCAGCTGCACAGGAAAAGCTGAATCATTGGTACAAATCTGGTTACTGACAAGTGACTCCTGTGATGGAAAAGCTGTTTGTGCAGGAGTAGAAGCCCCAAAACAGCTCCCTATGGAACTGTGCCGGAGAGGGGAGCTGGGAGAAGGAAGCTGAAGGTGGAGGTGTTCCCCAGGAGACTTTGCAGTGCAAACCCCAGCACTCAGTCCTGTGCTGCTCACAGAGATTCCAGGGATATCCATGTGGGCACACAGAGCATCCTGAGCTTTTAACTCTGCTAATGATTCCAGTTTCTGCTCCCTCTCTGCTTCTGGGGCTGCAGGCTTCCCTCTGGCAGGCATAGCCATGGGATTGCCTCAAGGACAGCTCCCTGCCCTGAATTCCCCTGGCTCACTGTGCTAATTCTGCTCTGTTAATCACCTTAGAGTCCATTTAAGGTGCTTCATGCCACTGGACATTTATGTGGGTCACAGCTCAGCGACACCTTTGCCCTTTCTGCATCAGCACCTGGACAGAGGTGACTCGTCCCTTGCCTTTGGTGGCTGTCCCCTTTGCCAGGTCACCAGTGCCGTCTGGCAATGCCAGGAGGAAGGAGGGAAGCACCAATCCAAATTTCCATCAGACTGAGGGCAGTGATAATCATGTCTCAGGAGAGCTGGAGCAGTGTCTGATGGGCAAGAGAAGTTTTGCAAGCACCCCAAAATCTTGGTAGCTCTGGCAGACACTAGTCCTTAATAGGAGAGGGAAACTGAGTTCCAAATCTGATCCATTTCACAATGGAATGATGAGTATGTGGACAAGACCTCGTGGGCTGTGTTTGAGCAGTGCCTGAACCGACTGAGTTGGGAAAACCCAAAAAAACATTTTCTGTTGTCAGCAGTTGAACATCACTACTTTCTCTCCTCTCCTCATGCTGGTTTGAAAAGCCTGGCTTTACACATTCAAAATACACAAAATTACTGAAACCCTGTCTCTTACTGCAGCACGTGGGACTCATCCCTGTCCCAACACCACCACATCCAGGAGAACTTCTCTGAAACCATTTACTAAATATTTCAATAGAGACCTTAAAAAGTGTTCCTCTCCATTTGGAGACATTGCAGAAAGGAAATTGGTTCTTAACCTCTGTCCTCTGTTTTGTCTTTGATTCATTTGTGCATCACGGGGCAGAGCAGGCTCAACATCTCTTTGCTTTTCATTCTTTATTTTATTTTATGCAGACAGAAACGTTCCCAGGAAATTGTTTGGGCTGGAAGTGATCTCTAAAGATCATCCAGCTCCTGACTTGCCCAGAAGCTCCTGCTGCACCTTTCAAGCCCAGACATTCTGTTACTGTGGAGCTGTTGATTTTCTGCAGGGATGTGGAAGGAGTCATGGTGCTGGAATGCTGCTGGAACACAGTGGCTTCACCATTCCTTGCCCTCTAGTGCTGTTGGATTCTATTTCACTCACATACCTTCACCAAATCAAGCGTTCAGTTTTAACACTTGGTGAGCTCCAGCGTGATGGGGAGACAAGAATGAGCAAGGCACGGAATTGGCATTGGCAGCAGCACTTTGATTTCTTGTTCACACGTTTATTTCACATTTTTATTTCCCCCTCCCCAGGGTGATGGTGAAGCACAGGCTGTGCTGCTTTGCTCCATGTGGGGTCGTGAGCGTGGCCTAAAGGTTTGTGGACTTGCAAAGGGTGATTATTTCAACTCTGAATTATTTTTCTGGAAATGCCAGACCAGGAATTGACTCCAGCCGAGAAACCAACAGCATCTTCAGCTCAGAACCCAAACCTGCAGGTTTTATCAGGCATGTGTAAGCAATAAGGGAACGAAACACACAGAGAAAGTGCAATATGGCTCCTATATTTTATAAAAAAACCCCAACTGCTGCTTAATGAAGGCCCGGCTAATTGAGGCCAATTAAGTTAATCAGGCAAGTGAACCAGCCCCACCCATTCCGAGGAGGATGGGTGCAATCACAGGCAATTACTGTGATTAATCCTCTCATTGTCATCCCCACAGGCAGCACCTGGCCAAGAAGTTGGGGAGTTACCTAACCGTGCTCAGGAGGATGCTGCAGGCAAAGGTGGTGCTTCCAGGTGAGGATCCTTCTTCTTGGCCTTTTCCCACCCTTTTCTCAAACTTCTGCTGAGCCTCCCTTGACCTGAGCAACCTGGCCTTGACCTTCAAACCTCAGTGGTTGGCAGGTGGAAAAGCTGTGACAGGATGTTTTAGAACACATCATCATTCACCCCAGTGAAACTTATATTTGTACCCTCCAACCTCTGTGGGGGGTAGATAGCACCTTTAATTTTATTTTATATTATTATTTATTTATATAATTTATACTTATTTTATTATATTTTACGTTCTGCTATGGAGGAATGATTCTTGGCATTCTGGATTATTCCCTTCATACTCTACAACATGGTTTCCAAATAGATAATAAGTGCATGGCTGGAAATGTGAATGGAATATTCACATTCCAGCAGCTGCAACAATGCCCTGTTCTGTAGAATCCCCAGGACAGAGGGATGGTGTAGGGAATGCTCAGTATAGAAGTATTTCTATGTGATATTTGAGGAGTTTAGGCTAATTTTTTTATAAAATATATATGATAACATGATATTACCCAGCATGAACACTGGAAAATAATTGAGGGTTTTTCAGAGGCTGAGCTTGCTGTTGTTTTTTTTGGTTTGTTTTGGGTTTTTTTTAGCAGAGTTTGAAAACCCTGTTGAAAGAAGGAAGCTCACAAATGTGGCTGCCCCATCCCTGGAAATGTTCAAGGTCAGCTTGGAGGGGATAAAAACTGAACATCTGAACACCATGGAGCCATTTCTCCCCATCCTGATGCCACACAAATTATGTTGTGAAGTTTCCTGAAGCCTCTAGAACTGGGCTCTTGCAGAGTAAGTAAAACGTGACTTTTTTAAAAAAGCAATATTGCTCATGGATGAAGCTATTGATTTGTAGCAGTTAATTTTTGTGTAAGAGCCCCCTGTGTTTGCATTAGGGGAGCCTGTTTATTCTGGGATTAAATGAAAGCCCTAAAAACAGGGTCATTTTCTGCTTTGAGTTCTGTGACACCTCATTGCACCTGCTTTTGAGCAGGATGAGTTTGCCTATGGAGCAATTCCTGTGGACTTTGGCAAGCTCCAGTGTTGGTTTTAGGGGACAGATAAGGATAACCCAGCCATCACTTTGTCTCCTGACCCTGCCTGTGGGTTTCCTATGTCTGCCCCTCCACCTGATGGGACAGGTTTCAGTGGGTTTGTTTGGCAGAACCAGCTCTGTTAAAGTCTCTGGGCTGACCTCAAAACAGTTTTGACCTAAAAATCCACTGCTGGTGTCGACCCAAAACCCACCAAACATCAGATGGAGCTGTGGATTGGAAAAGCTGCTGCAAGGTGCTCACCACACCCCAGGAAGATCCATGAATGGGCACAAAATGGACTTTAACAAAACTGTAAAATGCTTCTGTGAAGTTTTCACAACAATTTTGTTCTCAGCTGCCTCCTCAGACAGTCTAGAGGCCAAGTTTGAGTGGCCAGGCAAATCTTTGACAGGAAAATCTCCTTTCCTATGGTGTTTGCTCCCAGGATGAGGGGAAGCAGCAGCACTGATCCTGAGATTGTGAAAGCTAATAAAGAAATTCATCTGTGCAACTAAAATCAAAGGCATCAGAGTAATTCCACTCATTCCACCACGTGAAGTGGAGAAAGGACTTTCCACACTCACAGGCTAACAGCTCCTCCATAAAAAGCCCCAGGAATACCAAGGGAAGCCATAATAAGCAAGCCTGATCCCAGGTCCTTTTTTAGTTTGCTCCCACAGTGTTCTTGGCTTGGCATCTGATTTTGAACTGCTAGAAAGTAACAGTTACAAGGCTAAATCTGAAATTGGAGTTTGAATCACCCTTTATTTCAAATCCTACCCTGACTCTTTACAATTCTGAACATGTTTTTGATCCCAGAGCAAAACCTGGCTGGTGACATTCCCACCACAGAAATGCCCTGACTTGCTTGGTTGGCCATGCCACCTGCTCGTAGGTTTGTATGGCAGAAAGCACTCCAAAAGAAACAAATTCCTGAGCACCAGTGACTCTGGGAAAAAAACCACATAAAGCATTTGTATGGTCAACAAATAGTTATGATTTTATTGAGTGGTAGAATACACAAGGAAAAAAAATGTTCTTTTTGAGTTACTGGATTTTTAATTTTTTTTTTTAAGAATTAAAAAAAACCAGGAGCTGTCCTATGAGGAATTGCTGTTTTAACATTGGAAATGTTAGGGCTTTGTTAGGAAGGCTTTCTTGGGAAAGCATTTACTAAGGAAAAGGATGTCTTTGCCCTAATGAAGACCTCCAAATCCAGCCAGAGAGCTCAGCCCCTGCAGCAGGGAATGATGGTGCCTGGACATGGGTCCTGACCAGCCTCCCAAGCCCTGTTTCAGTGAGCAGTTGGGATCTAGACTCCTCAAATCCATGCTTGGAGGGAAAACTCCAAGGAAAGTCCCCTAATTCCCACTGTGCCTGTCCCTGGGAAGTGTGGGCAGCGAGTCCCTGCTCCCAGAGCTGTCGGGGGGCTCATTGTGAGATCCAGCTCACTCCGAGGTGCCTGTGGATGTCACCAGTCCCTGCCACCCCCTCTGCGCCCCAGCTCTGCCCTGTCCTGCCCTGTGTCTCCAGCACAGCCTCCAGGCAGATCCAGCCATGCTGGGAGATCGTGGGACACCACATTCCAAATTTCTCCTCCTTCACCCCTCAGTATTATTTCTCCCACTCTCATGCATCTCTTCCCCAAGCCCTGACCTTCCCAAACTTCTCCCTTATCTCATTCTCCTCCCAAAACACACCCAGAGGTCTCTCTTTGCTGCAGTTTGTGCTTTTCTCTGGCATCCTCGATCATCCTGGTCCTCCAGCTCCTGCTCCAGTCCCCCCAGTGAGTGGGGAGAACAAATCCAGTCCTTCCCTGGCTGTTGTTTGGTTCTCTGCCCTGAAACCAGCTCTGTGTTTCCAGCTCCCCATTGCCATGTGGTGTAGCTGGGCTCAGTAAATCCTGGCAGGCTCCCAGCACCTCTTACTGGCTTAGGGTTTGGTTTTTTTTTTTTTATGTTTGTGTCTCATTACAGTGCAAATGAATGACCTTTATCAAGACAGAAAGTGGGCAAGATTTCACCTCATTATTTTCAGAGAAACTGGTTAGTTAAGAGTCCTTAGAAAGCTGTGCTGAAAATTCTGTGTTTCAGTCATTTTGATGGCAGATTTTAACCTGCTTGTGTCTCACTCATTGCAGCTTGTTGGAGACAAAACTCATGGGAAGTTTGTCCATCTACATTTCCAATCTTACTGAAACTTCTGGAATATCTCCAGATAAACCTAATTTACTTGGAGAACAATGATAACAAAGCAGATTGATCCAGACTTCCAGGGTTCTTTGCCAGGGATCTCTTTGACCTGCTCCAGTTAAAGAGTGGAGAGCTTGGAGAATCCTGGAATGGTTTGGTTGGAAGGGACAATAAAGATCATCCAATTCCACCCTCCTGCCATGGACAGGGACACCTTCCCTAGACCAGGTTGCTCCAAACCTCATCCAGCCTGGCCTGTAACACTTGCAGGGATGAGGTGTCAACAAGGAATCAAGGCACGTAGAAAACAGCTCAAATTCCAGGTTAGAAAGCTGGGATTTTTTTGGAAGCAGAGGAAAAAGCTAAATGAGCCAGAGAGGCTTTTCCTGAAAAAATAATAAGTTTTTTTGGGGAAAAAAATGCCCATTTGCCCAAACAATTTCCCAAGAAGAAAGGGGAGAAGAGAAGAAGGGGACAGGGCTAAGGAGGAAAACATTTGCTCTGGAAATAAGACCAAAAAAACCCAAGGGCTGTCAGAAGAATAAGATGGATATTTAAAAGCTTGCAGTGCTGATGCCACTGTGCTCGTGGTCATCCTTGCTGGAGCACAGTGAGGTACATTCAAGGAAGGGATGCACAAATTAAGGCAGTCCTGATGAGGTTAGCCAGATTGCAGGCTAGCTCCTTACTGCCTACCTGGGAAATCACAGCATCCAGAAGGATGTTATTTATGTAGCTTTTCACCCTAAACATTCCTGGTGGTACTTGGGAGAGCAAAACTCCCAGAACAAGCCTTTTACAAACCATAAGCCCTGCTTGCTGAAGTTGCAAGATGCTGAATTCCCCATTTGTAAGCAAAGATAAAATCTCATTTTATTCTCCAAAGAAGCGGGGGAGGGAATACATTTATTTTTTTTGAATGCTGGCCAGAGTCCCAGAGTCGTCTCTGTTCATGATGAAGCACCTTTGCTGATTCTGTGGGATGCTGCTAGGATTCAGGGATTTGATAGAGAAGATCCAGTTTCAGAGCTGAAGGATGTAATGAGGCGTGCAAAGGAATCAGAGTCTCCCTCCTGGTGTTTCCAGGGAGCACCGAGGCAGATGCTGGAGCTGGGGGCTGCTTTTGGAACCATGGCCCTTTGTCCTAAACCAAATATCTCTTCTGTTGTGTTGCAGCTGAACGTGGATTTATTTGGGGCCAGGTTACCTGTTCCAGAAGCACCTGGAAGCTGTTTAACCAAATCTCCCAATAAGCCATTAGTGAATTTTCATAATTAGGTGCTAGGCAGAAAATTGAGTTTTAGACAACTTGTGAGAGGGTTCTCCAAAGGTTTCACATCAGCAGCACAGCCTGGGCAGGGCTGATTCCAGCTGTGATCGTTTGAGCAGCTCCTCCGTGTGCAGAGAGAACTCCTTTTCTCCTGTGCTGGTTCCCAAGGGAAGGGTGAGCAGTGCCATGGCTCCTGGCCTGGGGCAGGCAGGAGGAGGCAGACAGGCAGAACTCGGGTTTCTGCAGGGCAGGATGGTGAAAAGGCCATTTGTGGCTCCCCTGCAGCACCCAGGAGCAATTAGCACGTTTTGCTTGTGTGATTGTTTTGGTCTTTTTTGTGGTTTGCTGGAAATTCTCTGTGCCAGACCTGCTGCTCATTAAAGAGAAAACAAACCCTCTCCTAAAGGAGACATTTTGCTGTTTAAACCCAGAAATCTCCTGGGCAGAGGGGCTGATCCTAAAAACGCTGCTGTGTTAACCCTGCTGTGGTTAGGGGTTAGCTGTGCAGGACCAGGGTCACAGCAGGCACTAAATTTAGGGATGCTGTGATTAGAGAAGGGGAGGAGGCAAAGGAGGGAGTTGGGATCTGGGCAGGGCTGGGAGCACAGTCCAGCAGCTGCCGGTCCCCTGGGATGTGATTCCTCTTCCACACAAACATGGGAAAGAGGCAGGAGCTGACTGGGGTGTCCTTGGATTGCAAACACTCACTGTGAGTGTGTGAATCAGGTTTTGTGTGGTTTAGGCAGAATGAGAATGAATCTTGTGAAAAGAAGGTCAAGGTCAGATATTAATGCCCCTTTTTTAAACATTCCTCATCATCCTCTCCCAGCCTTCTGTTCCTTGCACTGCTGGCCTCACTTTCCACCCTCTGGAGAACATTTTAAATCTGCCTGGATTAAACAGGTTGCCTGGGCCTGCACCAGAAGCAGCTGACAGGACAGGAAACTCCCCTCCAACCATGGATTTAGACAGATCTGAGAGTAAAACACACAAGTGTGATCCCCCCCCACGCCCCCCCATCCCTCCCGGTCACTCACACCTCCCCAGAAAGATTCATGATCACTTATGGAGATAAGCATCCAGCCACAGATCTCCAGATTTCTTTAGGGACCTGTGGGAAGAAAAGGAGAAGTTTGGGAAGTTGTGTTTGCTTCTGTTGTGTTTTTCCTGCAGTGAAGGCTGTTACTGAATTTTAATATCAGCCATAGGCTCACACTCACAGAACCCACCCTTTGTCAGTGGGAAGCCATTCCCCCTTGTCCTGTCACTCCAGATCTGTGTCCAAAATCCCTCTCCAGCTGCTTTGGAGCCCTTTTGGGCACTGGAAGGGGCTGTACGTTCTCCTGGGAGCCTCAGTGCTGCATGGCCCTGTCCTAACTGGGTTTGAGCACAAAAGCAGGTTTGGAACCTGGTTTGGAACCTGCTCTGCTGCCCATTGTGGCCACCCCACTTTACCCTGCCCATGCTCGGAGTGGTTTGTGCAGGAGGTGCCTGGACTGCAGAGCTTTCTCATGTTCCCTGCCATGAATTATTCCCCTTGGAGTAACTGAGACAGCAGCATTAACACCGAGGCTGCTGACAAGGGCTGTTAGACTCGTCCCCAGCTCTGCCCGCAGGGAACTGCCTGTTGTGCTGGCAGAGCTCTCAGGGGACACGGCAGGGGCTGAAACCTGACCTGTTTCCCTTTGATTCATCTCACTTTGCAGCAGGAGATCCGCTGGCAGCTCCACCAGCAGGAGCCACCAGCTGTCAGAACAGGGTGGTATAAAAAATCACAAATCATTAATATTGGAAAAGCCTTCTGAGATCGACTCCAGCACTGCTGAGCCACCGTGTCCCCAAATGCCACAACCAGGACTGTGCATGTCTAAAGGTCAAATGTTTGGGACTTTGGCAGCAGCAACAGAAATTTCTGAAGGGTTTTTTTTCCTCTGTGCTAGAAAATATCAGGGGTCCCTGGAAAAATGAGCTGCAGGTGGGATCGGGGGGCCTTACCCAACGATGTCTATGAACGCTTTCCCGAGAGGCTTCTCCTCGTACTGGACTCCATACTTGGCACATAACGACTTCACCAGAGGCTTCACCTTCCAGAAGTTGTGCCGTGGCATTGTTGGGAACAGGCTGGAGAGGAGAGAGAGCAAACAAAGCTGAGAAAACTCTCGAGACAAGGGACAAGGGATGGGCATTAGCGTTTGCATTCTCAGGGGCTCATCCCTGGTGCCTCCTCCTCAAGCTGCACAAAGGAAGGGAGGCACAGAGACACCCTTGCTTTACCCTCCTCTGTCTCAAGGAGGTGGTGAAAACTGATTTTCCTGTCCTGCCTCAAAGCAAAGCCGTGCTCAGGGACTCACTGACAGCCAGTTTGTGCAGGAAGGGACACGAGTGCAATGAGAGGGCAGCAGGAGTGAGGGAACAGCCTCAGAGATGCCCACCCATTCCTCTGGGAATGACTGTTTCTTGCTGAACTGAATTCCCAGAGACCTGCTTTTCCACTTCTGGGAGCAGGTAAAGAAGGATTTTGGGGGCACCTTGCCCTATGGTCTTCCATGGAGATTTCCTAAGCTGACTCCCAAACCAGCCAACTTCACCCTAAAAGCCTTTTCTTTTACATTTGCTGTTGCCATTGGCAACAGACTGTCCATATGGCCCTGTTTTCCATATTTTTTCTGGAATCTGGTGCCCAGCATCCTACACAGTCCCACACTCTATAAAAACACTGGAGTGCTTTAGGGGAGGGGAGTTTTCTGAGGTGGATGCTTGGGATTTGAGCCCACAGCCTTTGTAACTGGTAGATGCATAATGGCTCCTAATTAAACCCTAAATCAAGGCTGTGAGAGTGAAAGCTTTGAAGCAAGAGAGGAAAATGTCATGGCTGTAAGAGAAGCAGACTATCATGGAATGGTTTGGGTGGGGAGGGATCATTAAGCTCATTCAGTTCCTGCCCCACCATGGGCAGGGACACTTTCCACTAATGCAGGTTGCTCCAAGCCCCATCCAGCCTGGGCTTGAGCACTTCTTGGGCAGCTTCCACACCTGTGTAGTCTGAGACTCTGTTTCCTTGGCATAAATCCTGCCCCACCTCTCAGCTCCCTCCCCTGGGCTGTGACCAGCTGGCAGTGCCCTCGTGATCCCAGCTCTGCACTCACTGGTGCTCGATCTGGAAGTTCAGGTGCCCGGTGAACCAGTCGTTGAAAAAGGACTGCTCAATGTTGCAGGTCGCTGCCATCTGCCAGGGAGAGAGAAAGCTGTGAGCATCAGGGATGGCTCATCCCAAAATCGGGGTGGAATTCCCATTCCCTGAGCTCTGGGAGTGCAGAGCCTGCTGTGCAACAAGGGGAGCTTTAATCCTTCCTCAGGGCTCAGGTAATCAAACTCTCACTGAAGTGAACTGATGTAGCAGCCCGAGCCCAGATTCCTAAATCTCAGCCTCTCCCATTGGAGATCAGAGGGGTGGCAGCAGTACCAAGGTAGAAAACAGGAGGAAAATGCATGAACACAAAGCTTCCCCATCCCCATGTAGTTATTGCCCAGTTTGCCTTAAGTGCAAAATTCTGAGAATATTTCTTATGTATTCCTTCCACTAATGATCATAAAATTAGATATTTTTTCTTAAAATTCTTAAAATTCAACCAAATTTTTGATTGGGTTCCTCCCTCACACATTTTACTTGGATTTGCAGGGAGACAGAACTGCCAAAATATAAAAAATACAGTTCTATAATAAAGAAGTGGAAAGGGAGCACTCAACCACTCAACTTCCAGAACAAAAGGACAAAGGCAGGCTCCAAAATGAAGAGTCAACCTTTTTCCTCAGCTGGGATCTACAGGCCTGGCCAAAACACACAGGACTGTTTTTTGGATTTGCAGTCACATCGAGCTTCACTCACCACAGTCACCCCCTCTCTCAACTTGCCTCCAGGAGCAGGTAACCTTTAGATTGTCAAAGTAATTGCACAGCTTTGGAATTCCATGTCTTTCCCCAATATTGGGAAGAACATCTTTATGGGAGAAGTCATGGACAAGACACTCTATCCTGGGGGTGGTGGTAACTCTCACATTCTTTGAGTAAATCCCATTTTGGGGTGAGCTAGAGGTATTTTTCCCCTTTCCCGGTTACCTGGGAGCTCAGCCAGTCTCTGTGCTTCTCAGAATCAATTTCCATTGGGATGTGATTCATCTGGGTGACCCACACGAACCAGTGACTCTCCAGAAACCTGCAAAACCAGGAAAAATCATGACAATTTCTCCTGGATGTGGGGACATCAGGTAAGTAGAGTGGGGTTTGCAGGGAGCAACAGAGACTTGGATGGATGTTGACAAGGAATTGCCTGGAATCATCCTTGTTCCAGGCTTGTTTTCTGCAAGAGCAGATGATCCAATTTTGCAATTTTGCTTTTTTTTTTCCTTGCACTTTGGGTTTCATCAAAAATTTTGGGAATAGTGGGCTGGTTGTGATAAGTTTTTGATTTCAGCTTGATTTCAGACTTGGAGCATGCACAGAATTATCTCTGCATGTGGTAAGGGATGAGGGTGGGATGAGGCAGTCTGGGAGGGTCCAGCCATGCCCAAAGTGGGATCAGCAGAACAGGGAATGAGGAAAAGGGAGAATCCTGGACCACCATGGGCAGGGGAAGATGCAGGAGGAGTGCCAGAGGAGTGGGAACTTGGAGATGCTGCCGTGGAAGTGAAGCAGTGGGACACAGCAGAGCTGAGGCCAGGCTCAAACAGCACTGGAGGGATGGGAGGGCAGCAGGGATGCCCTTGCTCCCCTACCTGACAAACGTGAGGAGACACAGGGAGCCCAGGACGCCGTAGAACGGGATGTAGGTGATGAAGTAGCGCAGGTAGTAGCTGATGGCCCAGGCCAGGTCCTGGGGGGACACAGAAAACACCAGCCATCACAGCCCATCCTGGACAATGTGTTCTTGCTGGTGATGCTGGGAACACTGGGTGATTGCTGCCTGCCCCCTGGCCTCCCTCTCTGCTCCAGTTTCCAGCCAGACCCCGCAGGGATGGAGGGAATGTTTCACTCACCGCCCAGAACCTGCGCTTGATCATGGTCGAGATGATTTGGATTTGGAAATACACAGGGATGAGCAGAGGCGGGAAGACTGCAAGGCAAAGGGAAATGGTTTGGCCATCAGAGGGGTGGGAAGCTGTGTGACACGAGGGACTGCTGCCATGGAACTGGGAACGTGCAGTTTTTCCATGGAGCCTCTCACATGGAGGTTATTCCCAGCCTCAGCTGTTTTACATTGCCGTGCTCTACAGGGCAATGCTCCAGGTGCTTGGATATCCCTCAGCTGATTTTGGGACCTGCACAGGGTCCTGAGGAAGGGTGGGATGAGCTGGGATTTGAGGAGTTGCTCTGCTCACATGGTGAGGGCTGGAAAGGACAAGTGGCATTCCAGGAAAAGGGAAGAGAGAGGGTGGGTACTCACTGAGGAAGAAGTACTCGTGCTGGTGGTTGTAAGGCAGGTACTTCAGCTTTTTCTTGCCATACTGCAGGACACAAAGAGACATCTCAGCCTGGGATTGGGACATTCCCAGGTAAAAGCAGATTCTCTGCAATAATTCTTAATTTATTGACCAGAGAGTTTTGACTGAGTCCCCACCAGCGGGTAAGAAGAGAATTCGTGTGATTAAATGTCCTGACTTTGTCATTGTCTTAGGTGTAAACTCAATTTTTAAAGATAATTTCTATTTACTTGATGGAATTTTGATGCACCTCATCTTCTGCCATCCCTGTGTCTGTGAGAAGAGCTGCCAGCACCTGTATCAGTACTAATATGAATGTGATAGGCATTTTTGGAAGGAAAGGGTTTTTAGAAGGGAAGGCTTGTAACACCAATTAATCTGGCACATTATTCCCTCTGGGCTGAGCTCTGCAAGGCTGTGTGCTTGGCATCATTTGGAAAAGGATTTTATACCAATGGGAGAATATTGGGATAGACTGATTCTGGCCTAATATCAGATATTTTGAGGCAGAAATCCAGTTTTCCTCGTTATCACAAATGTTAAGAGGTTTTTTTTAAGTAGTAGAACCATGGTCTGCTTTCTTAATAATACAAATTCTGGCTGAGAAGCCATTTTTAATGTATTGTCTTTGCTGCTTGCCCATTTTCTTGGGGTTTTGTTTTTAAAACTAGAAATCCTTGTTCCATTGTGAAAAACACCATGATGTGAGTGCTTTGGGTAGGTTTTTATAAGCAGGCAGTAAATGCTTTGGCTCTGGAGGGGTGGATTGAATTAAAGTCACGTGATGGTGGAAGATATTTGCTATGGAAATGGAAGGTCAGTTTTGAAATGCTCCTGCTGGAATAATGACAAACACTGTATTTCCCTCTCGTGTTGGTACTTCAAGCCAGCAGGATGAAGTGGCCTTTAGTGGCTTTTTGCATTTTTTTTTCCAATCTCATCTGCATTATTTTTCCTGAGTTAACCCAGGACACTTTCTCCTGTGGTCAGCACAGGAAATGGATTGGGAATTAGTAGTCAATGCTGCTCCTCAGCCCAAGGGTTGGCTCCAAACTCCTGTCAGACAGACAAAATCCCTGGATTAAGCATTTCCTTTCTAGCATTCCTGGAAGTCCTGCATGTGTAAGTCATGTCTAACAATGGGAGCCAACTCCTGGATTTGCACAACCACTCTCCCAGGGCCTCTCAGACAGTAGTTTTCCATGTTTTCCCTACTTTTCCTTACCTCAACAGGCTGTGTGTCTCCCAGGACAAAAATGTGCAGCATGTTCACATCTGGGTCCTTCTTGAAGATGTTGGGCTTGGCGTGGTGCTGGAAGTGGCGGTGGTTCCACCAGTTTGCAGAGGCACCCTGGGCAAGGAGAACACGGAGTTTTCATCCACAGAGAGCTGCCCCCGAGGTGGGATTACCCAATCATTTATAGAAACTAAAGGAACAAAAGTTCTTTTTGGCCCAGATTGTGGCCAAACTGGGATTTGCTTTGGAAAGAGCAGCAAGCAGGGAGTGGTGGAGTTGTTGGTTGCTATGAGAGTGCTGCTCCCAGAGGGATCCCAAAGGATCATCCGTATTGAAAGAAGAATAAATACACTCTGAGCGAGTTACAGGTCACTGTGCCTTCTCAGAAAATCCTGAAATGGTTTGGGTTGGGAGGGACTTTAAAGTTCATCCAGTCCCAACTCCCCACCATGGGCAGGGACACCTTCCACTAGCCCAGGTTGCTCCATGGGCAGTGGTCACCACTGTTTTTTGTGCCTCTGCTCACTCTGGGAAGGTTGGGAGCCTCCCTTTCCTACTCTGCCACAGCCAAAGTGATACATTCCTAGAATTCCCAGGCTCCGTAATTTCCTTTACCTTCAGGTGTCCAATGACAAACTTGTGGACAATGTGGTTCCAGGAGGACTTCTTGAAGACAGAGAGGTGTCCAAAATCGTGTTGCAGCCACCCTGCCTGAGCCTGGGATGAGGAGAAATCAAACAGTTAGGAAGCTGCTGGGAATCAGAGCTAAGCAGGGAAGAAATGGAGATGGAGGGCACGTTGGGAGCGTGAGGAACATCTCTCTTTGTCACCTGGGAAGTTGTAAGGATGCAGGAAAGGATGAGGGTTGTGATCCAGCCAGTCCCAAAGTAGGAGACCATGAGCCAAGCCAAAACTTCCATGGCAATGATGTGGCCCAGGTAAAGGGAGAAGAACAAGGGGCTGGCTCGGAACAGGTTCATGTCCTCCGCCGTCTTCCGCAGGGTCCGGAAATCCTCCACCAGCTGGGACTGCAACAGGACAGGCAAGAGCAGGGTGAGGCTTGGAAGTGAGCCTGACTGAGTTATGGGATGGATGGAAGAAGGATGAGCTCCATGCTAAGGACCCTGGCTCCATATCCCAGCTTTTTGCCCTGTATTCCTATGAATAAACATCCTGGCTGGTCGGAGCCCACATCCTGACCTTTTGCACCTGCAGCCAGGAGAGTAACCCAAGCTCTGTGGAGTGTCACATCACCTGATGGCTTTTGTCTGAGTGAGCTTCCTAAACACTAAGGACAGGCTGGAGCAAGAGGGAATTCAGTGCTATTGTACCTAATTCCAGAGCTCTGATAATGAGCACCCACTATCATCCATTCAGTCCATGGGCCAGCTCCTGTGCAGCCATCCATGAGGAGCATTCCTGGGTCACTGGGGCCAGCGTTGTCCCCTCCATTGTGAGTGACACAGATCTATCACAATCATGGCCAGCCACAAACAACGAGGCAGGATTGAGTTTCCTGGCTAGAGCCAGCTGTGCCATGCTCTGGGCCTGAATAATGGATGAGCAGGGATACAGAGCTGCCCTGAGGATGGGCAGTGGCTGCTGCTCCTTAGCAAGGCCACCAAAATGAGACATCTCATCTGGGGACTTGTGTGTTGGAGCTTGGTCACCAGCACAGGAGTAGCAGAAGGCTGGTGCACATTTCCCATTCCACATGTCTCTGTTCCTATTTCCCTTCAGGATGGGCTCAGTCCAGCCTGTGTGCCTGGAATGGGCTGCCAGAAATTGGCTGTTGGTGGCTCCGTGGGAAAGAAAAGGTTTGTACAGCCAGAAGTGTCATTCCCTTTCCACACTATTTGAATCCCTGACAGGATGGAAATAGGGCTACATGGAGATGTTCAGTCACTGAGAACTTCTCTCCCTCTCTGGAGAGCATCCCAAGAGGCAAAAAATGGTGGGAATAGCCAGCCTGAACCCCAGTTGAGGAATAAATACTCACATTTTTGTCTCGGTCCTGGCTGGGCTCCCCTGGAGCAAGTTCTCCAATAAGCAGGGGCTTAAGAAACTTCTGCACCAAGGTGGGATTGATATGGAAGGCCTGGAATGCATCCTGGAGTGGAAACAGGAGGAACTGTGTAAGAATAAGATGTGCCTCCTATTCACTGTGCCATTTCCACCCACCTCCAGCAGTTGTGGAATCTGTGGAAGAGGGGGCCAGGTCACTTCCAGCTCTTTGATCACTTCTTGGAACATTAATTCCACTAAAGCCTGATGAATTTGCTCTCCTGAGAACAGTGAGATCTTGGATGGCATCTAGCCATATGGTGAAAGGCACCTCAAGAAATTCTTTCTAAGCAACTAAATACTTAAATCCTGTTAATTCCCTTAGAAGGTAGGCAGAGGGGAATTTGTGCAAATCCCTCGTAGGATATAAATACCCTTGGAAAGTCTGCTCCTGGAGGCAAGTCAAGAGAGGGGGTGACTGTGGTGACTGAAGCTGGATGTGACTGCAAACACAAAAAATATTCCTGGGTGTTTTGGCCAGGCCTGGAGATCCCAGCAATACAACAGCTGAGGAAAAAATGGGGACTTTTCAAAATAATAGTGCCTTGTTTGTGGAGTCATTTTTGATCCCAGCATTCATGAGTTTATCTAGCTCTTCCTTTTCTCTATTCCTTCCCCTTTCCACATATTTTTGTCTGCCTGTATCCCACAGGTGCTTGATGGTTGTAGTGAGATCTTGGCCAGAACCTTTCACATGGCACAGTTGGAATTTTAACCCCAAGGACAGCTGCAGAAAGCAGAAAGCTGACCCAGATCAGAAACCCTCACTCTGCCCTTGCCCTTTCCTCACTGCACAGAAATGGAGTCAGCTCTTGGAATTCACCTGGGAGAACAGGAAAGATTGGTTCTATGAAGTGCTAAGAGAGTATGGGAAAAGAAATCATTAAAAACAGGAGTTAGGAGAACCATGCTCCACCTTTGTCCCATTGCCTAACAATTGTAGGGACCAACTAATGTCTCCCTCCTGGCTCTAAAGAGAAAGAGCAGACTGAAAAGTGTCCCTGTGTCCAGCTGACCCTTCTGGGAGCTGCCCTCCATCAAAAGTCTGGAGTTAAAAATGCCAGGCAACGACCTCGGGCCCAAAGTCCACCAAAATCAATAAGAACTTGGACCCAGAAATGGGTCACTGAAATGTTGACTCTGGTTCCTTGTTTTCCTCCCTGGAACAATTTGCAGAAGATATGAAAGAGGAAGGAAAAGCAGAATGAGGGGGAAGTGAATAGCTAACTGTGCCAACTGCAAAGCTCTGCAGTTTAGAGTAAAAATAAAAAGGAAAGGGGAAAAAGAGAGAGGGTAAAATATAAGAAGCATTAAAAAATGTTGATTCAGTATTTTTTAACTGCTGGGAATAAAAAAGTCTTTGGAGGTCAGATTGGGTCCTCATTGCCTGGACATCCTGCAAATGATGGAAGGATTGGATTTTTGTTATGTGTATCTCATGAAGCTCCTGTACTAATAGGTCCCAAATATAAGATAGCCCTTGAATTTTGGAATTGTTCTCAGTTCTGTACTGCAGAAGAGAAAAAGCTTAAGGGAAAAGATAATCCCTGGGAAATGCTGTGTGATATTGGCACTTGACCTCCCAACTTTGTGATCTACTGACCAAGTGAGCTGAAGTGCTTTATGGGACGTGGGAATTATTCCAGCTGCTTTTGGTGAGAAAAAAAAAGCTTTGAATAATTGAGATACAAGCTGTACTTGAGCAGTGGGAGTGCTTAGAGCAGTCAGCACAAGGATTTTCTTTTACATCCCTGAACAGCTCTGGGACAGAGACTGCAGAGTGTCCCTGCCTTTGTGTTCTGTGCATGAGGTGACATCAGAGCGGGTTGGCCCAGACTCAGAGGTTGTGTTTGAAAAAATCAGAGACCCATGGAATGGTTTGGGTTGGAAGGGACTTCAAAAATCATCTCATTCCACTCCCCTGCCATGGGCAAGGAGATCTTCCATAGACCAGGTTACTCCAAACCCCATCCAACCTGGCCTTGGACACTTCCAGGGATGGGGCAGCCACAGCTTCTCTGGGCACCCTGTGCCAGGGCCTCACCACCTGCCCAGGGAAGGATTTCCTCCTAAAATCCAATCCCAACAGGGTCAAGGCCAAGCCTTTCTCCCTCTGAATGAGAGAGGTTTTTCTGGCTGTAAATGGTTGTTCACCACAGGCGAGCTGCAGAATTGATGCCAATCCTGGTTTAGTGCTGATTTAACAATTTCAGAGCATTTTTAAGTCTGTGCCTTCACGGGTTGTGGGGAAGTGGGAGGAGAACCAGCAATCCTGGAACCACCAACCTGTGTTTCAGCCTCCCTTTCAAGGATTCCAGACAACTGCAGTAGCAGATGCTTTCTGGTTGCTAATGGAGATAGTGGAGTTAAATTCTTGGGGATGGGAGTCAAACTCCTCCTGTTCCAGCAGCTCTGTGTTTAAGCAGTTAAAAGCAAAACCTGGCCCACCTTTTTAAGGGAGAAAGCTATTCATTCAGAGGATTTACTGAAAAGTGACAGAAGGGCCAAAATGCAGCTCAGTGCTTCAAGGAAAAGAATGGAAAATAACCACAGGAGGCAGGGAATGGGGCTGATGGAAAGGGAAGGTTCTGCCAAAAAATTCTGTCACACGTGGAGCCTCCTCCTTGCTAAGGTGTCAGGAGCCATGGGAGACCAGCAGCTCCTGCTCCTGCTTGGTCTCTGCACGTTTTGGGAAGAGCTCTGAGGCAGCTTGGCTTTCATTAACACGCCCTGAGGGGAGAACATGCTCTCTGGATGCACTTCTGAGGAAGGTGGTTTTGAGGGGAACTCCAGACAACAAACAATTTATTTCTAATTTGTTCCTGTTTCAAGATTGGGGGTTTTTCTGTTGTTGTTTGGTTTCTTATCTTTTACAGTGCTGAAACCTGAGAGGTGGCTGAACCCAGCGAAGGAGCAGCTGGAGCAGCAGCGAATGGTTTGCTGCTTTTTTTTTTTTTTTCTCTTTTCTGTAGCAACCTGTAACCAAATTCTCCAGAGAATTTTCTCCTGGGGAGAAAAAAAAAAAAAAGAACTAAAACGCTCCTTGTTTTAAAGCCTCCTCACAGAAGCAACTTTGAGACACAGCCTGGCCTCTGTTTAACCCTTCCTGTGCCTGGCTGCGTGACTCTGCATGTCATAACCTCCACACTGGAAAAGGGGACATTTGAGACACTTGGCTCCTGAATTCAGGGCTCGAGGCACGGCACAAGCAGGAGACAAAGGCAAACCAGCAGGATTTAAGCCGAGCAATCCCTACCAACCCATCTTCCACGGCTCCAGAGGGGGGGACCTGCATCCGCTTGGAGCAGCCAGAGGGCAGAGCCGGGTGTCCGGCAGTGTTGGGGACACGGGGACAGGGGACAGCTGGCTCCCTGCAGGGAGGGAAGGAGCTGTCAGAGGATGCTGCTGGAGCCGGGAGAGCCGCGGGGGTCGGTCCTTACCGTGGCATCTTCGCCGGCGCAGTGGCTGATGACTCGGTGGCCCCCCGGGTGCCTGTTTGCCCACTTGGTGACATTATAAACCTTTCGCTCTATCACCAGCCACTTGTCCGTCCTCAGGTTGTGCTTCTGGATCTCCTCCCAGGTGTAGAAGCGGATCTGCGCCGCCGGCTCCCCCGAATCCCCCCCTTGCTCACCCCCTTTCCCCATGGGGACACTCGCTTTCCTTTGTCTTCTTGACCAGAGGGGGAGAGGAGGGGTGAAAAGCCTGTCCCTGCCCTTCTCAGGAGGGGAAGAGCTTTCCAGGCGGGATTGAACTCAGCTGATCCCCTGCTCCCTCCCTTCGCTCATGTCCTCCCTTCTCTTTGTTTCTGCCTTCTCTCCGCCTGCTCGGAAGTGCCCCCTAGGCTGGCTGTCCCCGCTCTGATGCACTTTATCCTCGCTCGTAGCCCTGTGCTCGCAGGGAGGCTCGGCCCCTTCCACCCACACCCCCCCACCCCTCCTCTCGGGCATCCCCCCCGGGCATTCTCCTCCCTCTCCCGGCATCATCCTTTCTCCCTGGCATTCTGCTCCTCCCCACCTCCCGCCCCCCAGGCTCAGCATCCTCCTCCCCGCGGGTATCTCCCCCTTCTTTCCTTTCCTGTGCCCGGCATCCCCCCCCCGCCCCTGCTCCGCTCGGTGCCCGGGGCTCTCCCGCCGGGATCAGCCGAGTTCCAGCGCCAATCCCGGCTGTCCCGCCGCCCTCCCGCTCCTGCCCATTGGCCCGTCCCGATCTTTCGAAGCGGGACCGCCGGGGGACGGGAGGGTGGGAGCCCCTCGCCTCCTCCTCCTCCCGCTCCGAGCTTCGTGTCCTCGACATTTTTTGGCTCCCCTGCCTTTTTTTTTTTTTTCCTTTTCCCGCGTTATTTTTCTTGCCATTCCCCTTCTTTCCCCCCCCTTCCTTTTCCCTGTTTTCTTTCTTCTTATTTTTTCTTCCTTTTCTCCCCCTCCCTTTCCCCATCTTTCCCTCCTTTCCCCTCTTTTCCCTCCCTTTATCCCCTTTTCCTCCTTCTCCTCTTTCCCAGTTTTCCTACCTTTCCCCCTTTCCTCTTTCCCCCATTTTCCCTTCTTCCCCCTTTTTCCTCCCTTCTCTTCTTCCCTCCTTCTCCCCTTCCTGTCTTTTCCCCTTCCACTCCTTTCCCCTCTTTTTTTTTCCCTTCATCCCTCCTCCTGCTTCCCTTCTTTCCAACCCTTTCTCTTCCTTCTCTACTTTTACTCTTTTTTACCATATCTACTCCTTTTTAACCTTTTTTACTGCTTTTACTATTTTAAAACTTTTTTCTTTTTCCCCTCTTTTCCTTGCTTTCCCCCTCCTTTTCTGCCTATTTTCCTTCCAACCTTCTCACCCCACTCGCCACTGCTGAGCTCAGAAAGGAGCTGTTGCTGTTCTCCCTGAAATCTGCATTGTTCTGCTCTATTTTTGCCAGGCTGCCAGACTTCCCAGCTTTCCTGTGGCACAAGCAAAGCTGGCTGAGCTCTGCTGCCCCAGGCCACGCATTTATGAACAGGTGGGATAATGCCATCTTTGCCTTCTTTTCCTTGCCGTGGGGCACTTTATTGTATGCAACTCCTGGCATTAGGTTATGCAAGGTGAGGTGTTGCAAGGACAAAACCAACACAAACAACACCACTTTCCTCCTCTGACAGCACCTGTGGCCACTTTCCAGGTGTGATCCTCAGCTTTCCTGGCAATAGGAATCTTTTCCTGTGATTATTTTGCATGAATAACTGGGACGATTATTCATCCTTTCTGTAGTGACAGAGGCTGGCCCTAAGCAAAGGAAGGAACCCACAGGGTTATCCAGAGAATCACAGAAGGATTTGGATGGGAAAGGACCTTAAAGACCATCCAGTTCCAATCCCTTGCTATGGACAGGGAAATCTTCCACTATCCCAGGCTGCTCCAAGCCCTGTCCAACCTGTCCTGGAACACTTCCAGGGATGGGGCAGCCACAGCTTCTCTGGGTACCCTCTGCCAGGGCTCAGCATCCTCCCAGGGAAGGATTTCTTCCCAATATCCCATCTAAATCTCTTTATCTTTGTGCCAAGCCATACTAGAGCTTTCCTCTGTTTCTGCCTGGTGTTAGTGCTGCAGGATGGCTTCAGCCTGTTAAACAATCCTTGCCTGTGGTGTGGGGTGAGGAAAGTCAGAAATGACAGGAATGTTTTGCTAAGACTTGCTAGTTTTATTTAGTTTGGTTCAAAATAGCCCTGTGACAAAGATCAGGCTAAATTATAGCCAGACACCACATTAAGGTGGATCTGAAACTTGTTGCTTGTGATGAGGGAAAAGTTTGCTGAGTCCTTTGAATTTGGGGTTTTTAATCCTATGGGTGTGCCTGGATATGTACAACTCAGGAAGAAATCCTTCCCTATGAGGGTGCTGAGGCCCTGACACAGGTTTCCCAGAGAAGCTGTGGCTCTCCTTGGATCCCTGGACGTTTCCAGGCCAGGCTGGATGGGGCTTGAAGTGACCTGGGATAGTGGAAGTTGTCCCTGCCCATGGCAGGGGGTTGGAATGGGATGAGCTTTAAGGTGTCTCCTAACCCAAACCATTCCTGGATTCTATGTTGATTCTACGAAATGAGCTGAAAAGAAGTTTGGTCCATTTCATTTTGGAATTTACCTGTAGATGGACAAAGAAGCAAAATCAGCACCCAGAACTCCCCACCTGGGTATTTCCCATGGAAAATTGCACCATAACTTAATGGCAAGCCATTAAAAGATGCCTCTAAAATAATGCCTGCTGCTCTCAGCCTCCAGCAGCACAGCCAGCCAGGCTGTCAGGCTTCAGGCAGTGCTTGTTCCGAGTTTTCTTTGGCTCCTGGGACACAAACCAGCCCCAGCAAAGAGAGGAGAACAGGCTGTGCTCTATGGCCAAGTGGGTGAAAGGCTGCAGTCACTGCCCGGTGTGGCTTTAGCAGCACAAAGAGCTTGTGTGAGGGACATAAAAACCCCGAGTTTAACCAAAGAGTCACGAGATTTGGGCAGAAAAGGTGAGGAACATGAAAGGGAACAAAGTCTGGGCAGGAGGGATGTAGAAGGGGAAGAGTTTTTGCAGGAAGCACACGTAGAAGTGGCATGTGTGCTCTTCATCTGAGGATATCTCACTGCAATAGACTGGAATGGTGGAAAAGCAGGGAAAATTGATAGCTCATGTATCTTTACACTGTCTCATGCTTTGGTTTAATCTAAAAGAAGTTCTTTTTCCCTGAGGAAAATACTTTAAAAATGTAGCAAAACCCCAACGTTTTCTGTGCTTGTTGTCTCATCCCTTTGCTGAGTTTTATGTAGGAGGCAAGGTCTGATAAGTTTTTTTGCCAAGGTCTGATAAGTTTGTTTTAATTTGGTTTTTAAACTTTGTCAGCAGCATGCAGTGCTGGCACCAGCACATGGAAATGCCCCGTAGCTGTGCTGCAGTCCTCACGGATGCAGGGAAAATCCTCTTTTTCCCCCAGTTTATAGTATGAGATCCATCACTTGGTAAGGCCAGATGGCTGCAAGGCATGTGGTGGGAAAAGAGGGAAAGCACAGTGAAAAAGGGAAAGACACGGAGCAGCTTTCTGAAGGGGAAAAAGGCAGGAACTGAGGATTTGGGAGTGCAAATCAGATTTAGCTGCGCCTTTAAACTTTTTAATACTTTTAATTGTCTTTTTGATACCTTCTTCCTTTCTGCCAAAGAAAAATACATGTAAAGAGAGAAAGGTCCCCAAGTTTTGCCTGTTTTTCCAAAAGGGAAAGGTGGAGGAGCTCTGAACATAAAAATAAATAATAAATTGAATAATAAATTCAAACATAGTGGGAAACAGCTGGGCTGGGAATGGGGAGCTGGAGCCTGGAGCATGAGGTGAGGGAACCCAGTGATTAGGTGGGAATGCTGTAGCAGTCCATGTTTTTGAAACAAACTGCTACCAAAGATTTCCTTGATATTTTGTAAACTTGCATATTTTTTACTCTGACATACTCTACTTTTTTTCCTAGTCCTGAGAGAGTGGCTGAGAGCTGAGGATTTTTTCGAGGGGAAACAACCAACAAAGGAACAGAAATCCCCATTGTGTGGCCACGGCTGGCAGGGATTCCACATTCTGCAGTGGATCTTGGGCTGCCCGTGGGATTATCAGGGTCAGGGCACAAAGTGCCAGGGGAGCAGAGGAGGGAGTCACACTCAGAAAGCTGCAGACACTGCAGCAGGGCAGGAATCAAGGGAGAAATGCTCTGTTCTGATGCTACTTTGTAATGATTTCTAGTGAAAATCCTACTGGTATTCCCATGCTGTCATCGGATCCTTTTCTTTGTTTCTTTACTCAGGTTTTGCTTTCCAAAGTGTAAAACTCTAAACAATCACCACCTTGCTCCCTCAGTTGCTAATCTGAATTTATGGCTCCTGAAAGACAAAAGCTTATTTTTGTCTCCTCCCTTATACAGAGTAATTCCTGGGTGCTTTTCCTGCCAAGATGCAAAATCCTCCCAAATCTCAGTCTTTTTATGCATCTAAATTTTAACAGTCAGTTGAGTTATTAGAGCAGAGTGCTGAGCAAATATTCCATGAAGTCACACTGTTTGTATGGAAAATCAAGAATTTATTGTGAGTATGAGGTGTTAGCAACCCAGACAAAGAGTTCTGGGTACAACACTAACCCATTTAGGCCAAGCTGTTCCAGTACTTCAGCTCATTGCCAATAATACAACAAGAATAAAGGGAATATTTCCATTTTCTCCCCCTTCTGCTGGTGCTACACAGATCCTTGCAGTGGATCCTAAACCTGGTGTAGGAATGGTGTCACAGGGAGCTGTCAGGAGCTCCAGGCTCTTCCCTGGTAGTAACACAATGACTAAATTAGTGCTTTCCTGCTGCATTTGATTCATCAGCTTGGCTATTTTAATTGCACTGATGACAGAAGTTTGTAAATCATGCCACCACAATTCCCCTGTGCCTGAAACCTTCAACTTTTCTTAGGCTGAACCAAAGCAAAGACTTGAGTCTTCTTTTAGACTCTGCCTTTTTAAACTGTTTTTCAGCATTTGTTAGGTTTTTGGGGTTTTTTTTTGGGTTTGGGTTTTTGGTTTTTTTTTGGTGTGGTTTCAGACCACACCATGTATTATTGTAACTCATTTTCTTTGAAAGGAGAAAAGAAAGGCTTCAATCCTTTCAACCCATCTCCCTCTTTCCCTGATTACTGGTTTGGTCACCAGATGCCCAAATATTTAGTGACCCTTCACCCCCCAGGTCACTTGAGTATTTTAAAGCATGTTCCAGCCAAATCATGGTAGGGAAATAAGGAATTCTAATATATTTTCTCAAAATTCTGATGATCCCCAGTCACCAGATTTGCAGGCAGATCAGAGGACTGAACCAAAGAGCATCTCTTCCCTCCCCTTGGATTTT